ATTCTAAGACTTATAACAAAAATAAACTAAATAAATTTACGATTAAATCTTAAAGTTCTTACTAAATTTGAAATTAGCTATGTTTTTTTTTGTAATTCAACCAACCGAAAAGGTCGATGAACTTTCGATGGATCAGCTGTTTCGCTTACTTCCAACAGAAATTGGCCTACTTTCGTTTTTGGTTTGATCGAACCGATACGGAACTGACCTACGCCAATATAAAACTGACCTAGTTTTCTCACTGGTTTGATCGAACCAATGCGGGAGTTGACCTAGATTCGAATCGAACCAACTGGTGTGATCGTATGATTTAAAATTTTGATCCAAAATTATAATGAAAGGATATATTTATTTAATACAAAAGTGTACGGCAAAACCGAAAATATCGCAAACGACAAATAAATCATAAAATAATTGACCCTGAGCATAACTAAACCCCCTGAGACAAAACCTGTATGCAAAGAAGAAAAGAGAATAGGATAGAAAGAATAGATAAGAATGCACGTGAGTGGCGCCTGACACCTGTTGTTTGAGCAAACACAACAACAACAAATGTGGCTTGCCGACAGCGGTTAGGCGCTCGCGATCACCCGCTTTTGCCTATCATCCAAGCTTCGTGCACTGCAATAAAAACAATTTAGTTTCCCATTTTTTTCCGTGGTCAGCAAAAATTTCAACATGAACTAATTGCTGCATTTCCAAAGCGATTTTATTGTTTGGGAAAGCTAACGCTGCTATTTTATTTCATAAATTTGAATATTTCTCTGAGTTTTAACATCATCCGTGGTCAGGCAATACGGTTGTAATTAAACTATTAATGCCTGCAATTCCTATGCGTATGATGATAAAACGTATGCACTCGGACTCGATGTGGATAGAGGGTATGCTAATAGGGTTTTTCTCCCTCGTTGAAGCTTAGATCAAGCCGTGGCCGGACGACCCTACTTCCCAGTATTTAGTCTCTCCGTGTCCTATGCGACTGATCGAACTTCGAACGAGGTTGAACGTGGTTTGAGCTACAAAACGAGATCAAACTCCGTTTGTGGCTAAATCAACCAATAAATTAATTGATTTTTCCCCAAAGTAAGATCTGTTTTGCAAACTCTGGCTAAAATGAGTAATTGTGATGGTGAGCTACGTTACTTAACGTGGCCCCACGTTGGGCGCCATTTATAACAATAATGATGAGGGATTCAGAAAATCGTAACCTACGATGTTTCCTTTTCAGGCGAGATGTTGATTTGGGAGGGGTGCCGCACGCAATATATGAAAAATTCTCCGACTCTCGCTCGCCAGCAATTAGGGTGGTATTCTTGCCACGCCCCCCAAGGTGCCTATGCTCATTATTTCCATAAAAACTTGCGTGCAAATGACAAGCTAATCTTGGTTAGAGGATCACTTACTCATAAATAGTCTATAGGAAGCTGTTTAAGGGATAGCTAAAAAAAAGAAATTTATTTGCAAAACAAGGCTTTGTGGCACCTCCGAACATCCAAACCCTTTGATGTTTTTAGGCCTGGTTTGCCCACCCAACCTACGGCTACTATAATCCTGGTTGTTGAGTCCATTTTGTCCATAGTAGCCCCTTGTTCGGGGTTCTCAGACGGTCATGTTAGTCAGGGTCAACACTGGGTCTTTTAAAACATTATAATGATTTATTTACTCTCTAAACAAAATATAAAATTTGACCTAAGCTGACAACATACATGTTAAAAAAACTATATTATAATAAAATAGAAGAATATATAAAAAGGAAAATAAAGTATAAATAAATATAATCAAAATAAGTGGCAATTCTTATAAAATATTGTGGAAATTAAAATGAATAAACAAATATAATTGGTTTCTTTAATTTAAGCTTAAACATGGGACTGAGCAAGACCATCGAACATGCACACATACCATCAAACATATAAACGAACATATGTCCGAACTTGAGTGAATTTAGTGAGAAAAAGGGGTTCGATCGACTTTTTCCTTTTTTTTTTGATTAGATTTTAATTTTAATTTCAAACTTTAGATTAGGTCCCGCATTTTCTTTTAAACATTGTTTTCTTTTTTTTTTAAAGCTCAGCCGATTATTTCTGTAATTTTCTTTCTTTACCGCTTTGCCAAATTCGTGTTATGTAATATGGGTAAATTTTCACTCACCGCCATAAATGTAGATCCACCGAAGAAAGCGCTTTCCTGGATGACCTGTGGCTAGAAATTTAAACTTAAAAAAAAAGGAAAATCACAAAAAAAATCAATTGTAACTCTTTTCTGGGGGACACGACATTTTTTTTTTTTCTCTCTTTTCTTTCTTTCTTGAGAGGTTAGAAATTTGGGACTACCACTTCGAACCACTTTTCGCCACGCTTATTCCTCTTTAATTTTCTATTTTCTTTCTTTTACTTTTCATAGGAACTCGCTCTGGCCCACACAAAAAAAAACTAACACCATAAAAACTTATTCACTAATAAAAATAAAATTATTCTTTTTTTTCTCTTAATCGAACCGCATTTCTTTTTTTTCGTTTCCTCTTTTTGCTGCCGCTTCTGGACCGACCTTCCGTGGCCGATCTCTCCCGGGAAAACTAAGCACAGCGCGCGAAGATTGCCCACTTCGAAAATGCTCTCCTTTTAGCCACTTTTCCGCCGGCAACTGAATTTTCTTTGGCTTCGGCCAAACTCACACTACGCAGAAAAACTGAGCGCTTTCGATCGCGGATGCTCTGTGACTGCCTGTTCGATGCCCCGGCTCGACGTTGGGCCTATGAGTGGAACTCAAGCCCTATATTGAGCTTTCTGCTTATACTTGTGCTATTTCAAACGCAAAGCCAATAACACCCAAAACAATTATCTTTAGCGAACGCTACTCTTGTTGATTGCTGCCGTAGGCTTCAAATCTCTGTCGGATCCGTTTCCACCAATTTGGCTGTCGGACTTCTCCAGCGATACAGTATAATTTGTATAAGCGCCAAGCCTATTAAATGGGAAAACTTTGGTCGAGAACTTATTTTAGAACCTACACTCTTGCTTACCTCCCTGGACTCTGCGCTGGTAACAAATTCTTTTCAAGGTAGTCGCACACTTCTGACTATTTAACTTTGCTGCACCAAGGAATTTATACTGAGCACCACTGATCTTTAGGAGGTGTGCTTAGGGAATGAGCGCTACGGACGCCAGACTTTTGGCGCTAACCCTTCTGAGGCCTTAGTCCAGAGAGACAATGCCCCATAATAAGGATGACATTTCCCCCTGTTGCTCTCCTCCGAGTCTTTCTATGCCCCTTATAGTTCCATTCTTGTCTCTTAGATGGCGCCCCTATTCCAAACATCTCTACTCTTCAGATACAAGCGTTACAAGTGTGACGGAACTAAAAAAAAATATATATATTAAGGATGTGATTTCTTCGAGATATGTGTTATGAAACCCACGTGGTAATAAGTATCATTGTAAGTTGAGGGCAGCACAGTGGGAAACAAGCGCTTATACAACGTGGCCGTGCCCTTGAGATCCTCGTAACCTTGGCTGGTTAGAAACTCCTCCTGGTCCACTGTTATGCTGCTATTCCACTTCCAAGCCTTGATGGCATCAAAATCTGTCTGGCACAGCGAACCTGCTCCGAACTTCTTATTGGTCCCTTCATAGTTCTTAATTACGTAATCGCGGAGCTAAAAATAAAAAAAGGAAGAATGACTTATTTATTAAGTAACATAAAAGAATTTACAAAAATAATACATCTAGCATTACAAATAATAAATATACAAGTAGAAAATATTTTTTCTTTTTTCGGTCATTAAAAGTTTTATAGAAAGAACTCCGCACTATTTGAGATATTTAGCTTATAAAAGAGTAGGGTTTTAAAAATAAACGTTTATCCAAAAAAATAAACATCTACAAAATCTGATTTAAATTTAATTTGATTTGTAATATCCTATTTTTTAGCCACTAACTTAAAATTTAAATCCATCCAAAGGACTCACCTCATCCAACCTCTTTGCATTCTGGATAACTCCCTTCTCAGGCAGCCGTGTGCCGTGCCTATGCATAATCCAGATTTTCTTGGCTGTACAGCCGGGTACCACGTGTTGCTTTTCGATGTCCGAACTCTTTGCGACCTGGTAGGCAGTCATCGAGGAGAACTGGCGGGTCTGGACGGGAGCGGTATCCTTACTGAAGCAGTAGTCATCTCCTCGTGAGATGGCCACCAAGGGCAGCAGCAGGAAAATCAGCATACGCATACCAGAAAAATACCAATACCTATAAAATGTTAAAAAATTATTCTTTTGAGAAATCATTGAATCTAATTGACTTTAATTCTAGTGACGTAGGATATCTTGGTCCGTATATTGTGCAACAGGACATATTTATTATTTGTCACTATTTGTTGAGAGGACACACACACACCTCCTCTTTGAGTAATTTAAAATCACTGAGGAAACAATTGAAGTTGGCAGTTTTCTAACCGATTTAAGCACACGACGACGCGACCGCAGAATGTTTGAAATGAACTGAAAATCGTGCTTAAATACTTATTCCCAGTTCCTTATCGATGTTCCCGCCTCTTTCCCCCAGCGTCATTGTTTCTTTATCTCAACCAGAGCTTTATCCCTCCTTCCCGTCCAGCTGGTCAATTATTATTACGTGGACGGCGGTCCACGTAGTGACGAATCGCTTTGGAAGAGGGTGTTAAGTAGGAACTTAAGAATATATTCCCGTCAATGGAAAAGCCAATAAGATAATCCGAATGATCTGCCCTTTGTATACTGCAAAGCTTCGATACTTTTTTTTAAAAGATAAAACCTTTGCAAAAATTTAAAGGTTCTTGTGCTAATAACTCCGTTTAAAAACCCTGATATTAGCCGCCCACAATACCGAACCGCCTTTAATAAAAGACAGTTCTATAAATACGCCACCTAGCTCTTGTTTACATAACTTGCGAGTTCTACATGCATTTTACACACTGCTTAGTAAGCAGTTATATTGGCGCCAATTCAGTAGAAATTCAAAACATAGTCACAATTTAAATACTCATTTTATTTAGTTAATATAAAGCTATTTCTGACTGCAGCGCTGTCAAGGTTCGTTAAGCGTTTAGAAAAATCGTGAAGTTGAATATTTCGGTGTCTGGGTGTGTTTCTCGTGTTGTGTAGTTGCTCGACTGTGTGAAGTTTTTGTGCTTTTTGCTGGATTAAAAGTAGAAAATCTAAATCGAAAAATACTTGACTGACTGATCCGCCGAGGCGAGGCTAGGCGGCCCACCATTTGGTACGAACTTTGTTTTGTACATTACAAATTAAGAGCTATTCCTATCGAAAGTTAGTGCATTAAGTAGACCAGAATGGCGGCGGCCAGGAGTCCAGTAATTCCGGATCTTAGCGCCGCAGCTCCGCCCGCCCGGCAGTAATAGTCGGCGCAGTCCGCCTCCGAAATGGTCTTGTACTTCTCAAGGACATCGGACCACTTGCACAGGCCCACGTTGCACCAGTCCAGCTGGACGGCCTGCTGGTTGAGGAAGAAGATCACCTTCTCGCGATCCAACTCGGCGGGGCAGGTGTACTTCACCGCCACGAAGTTGCTGGCAAACGGATCGATGAGGCTGCTCTTCCAGCGACGGCTGCTCAAACTGTCGTAGTTATCGGCCCTCAGTTTGATGTCGTCCTTCTGAATGCCCAGCGCTGTGATCAAAGTGAGGAGACCCGTGGAGTGGCCGAAATGGGCCACCACATGAGGCGAAACGGGGTTGCTCAGGTGGGTGAGCAGGTCCTGCACCAGGCGGCAGTTGAGGTGTGCGTTTTCCGGGAACCCGTAACCCGATCCGTAGTAGTACTTCAGATCCTCCAGGTACTCGAAGACGGTTACCTGCTCCGGCAAGAAGGCACCGCACCAGACGCTCACGCGGTCCACCTGGAATTTTAATTAGCCAATTAATATAAATAATATAATATCTTCTGGGAACCACTTACATTCCAAGCCTGTTCGTAGCGACACATATCGTACATCAGCTTGATGTCCTCCTCAGGAAGGGTGTACTTGAAACTGTTGATGAAAAGGGGGTTTTTATTAAACATAAGTAATTATTAAACTTAGCTTACAACGGCGGCAATCGCACTTAGAGTGATATTTTTTTCGCTTACAAGTAATGATTATTCCTGATACATATTTATAAAACTCATAAATAATGATTATTCCTGTGTTTTTTGAATATCGCTTATAATGATTACGGTCCCTGATAATTAATTAAAAATAAAACCGATATGTGCAGGTACATTTGATATTCTTCCAAGATAAAGTTATTCATATCATTTTGACATGATGTAAATCTTATTTTACATGATGTGCTCAAAAAATACTAAATTTGGTATTTTTTTATTAGTATATTTACCATTTTTAAGAAATCACTGATATGATAAAATATCTTATTGATATGTTTCAATCATGAATTTGACATTAATCATATCGGCTTTATATTTTATCTTTTCAACTTACCCCAATCGCGTGGAGATGTCCACCAAGGTGTCGTTATAGAGTTTAGTCTGATGAAACTTCTGGTACTCAGAACCTTCGCCCTTGTAGTTCACATCCTTGAACGATGTACAATAGTCATAGGGACGGAGCAGCAGATCCTGCTGGGGGATCTCGACGGGATGGGCGGCATTGAGAGATCCGAAGAGACCTTCGGCGAAGGCCTTGAAACTTTCTGTGGTGCGCTGGGTGTCTGTGTGACGGAACTGGGGGAGATTATCAATATTATTATCATCTATTTGCAATTGATAAAATAAAACCCACCTGGTAATAGGTATCGTTGAAGGTGGGGGGCAGCACACTGGGGTAGTAGCGCTGATACAGCTTGGCCGTGCCCCTGAGATCCTCGTAGCCCTGGGCGGTCAGGTACTCCTCCATGTCGGGCGTTATGCTGCTGTTCCATTTCCAAAACTTGATGGCAATCAAATCCGTCTGGCACAGCGCATCCGTTTCCGGCTTAGTCCTATCCACTTGATAGTTCTTTACGATGAGATCGCGCAGCTAAAAATTGACGAAACATTTTATGACAAATTCAGTAAATTCATAAAATCAATCCCCCTCTAATATTAGGTAAATAATAATAATGCTACTTTGCCTGAATACAAATGATGTATTTGTGGCAAATGTAAGGTCGTAAATTCGAATAGCCTATAGCTCATATGTGTTTGAAATAAACCGCTTCCTAAATAAGCAGTTTGTCTATTAATGAGTGGCTGTTTTGTAATAAACAAGCTCTTTAAAGATTTCAAGGGAATACTTTTAGATTTCGCTTTTTGTTTGACATATTCTAAAATATTATGTTCGGAAATATTGAAGATGTTAAGAATAAACAATATTTTTCTTTATTTACTTCTAGTTTCAGATCACACACAAAAATATTAACCATATTTAAAAATGGATTATTTTTTTTTTATTAAACATTAAGTGAAATTCAATAAAAATGGCTGCGTATTTATTCTAGAGACAAAAAAATAATCATAATTAACTGCAAATTGGTATTAAACTCAATGCCTTTAGACCTATAAGTATCTATAGAAGCACTCACCTCTGCCACCCTGGAGGCCTTATTGATCATGCTCTTCTTGGGCAGCCGCGTGCCGTGCCTGTGGAAGATCCACATCTTCTGGGCCTGACACCCGGGTACCAGGTACTGCCTCTCGATGTCCGAGCCCTTGACGATCTGGTAGGCGGTCTTCGAGGAGAACTGGCGGGTCTGGGGACGATCGGTGTCCCTGCTGAAGCAGTAGTCATCGTCTTGGGCGATGGCCACCAGTGGCAGCAGCAGGAAAATCAGCAGGCGCATAGCTCTAAGGAAATTCAGGGCGGAAAAGAAGATGGAGATGGTCAGGTGGGAGGCAGAAAAAGGGTTGTTCGAACATTTAACTGGCCCAGCCTTCGGTTGGGCGCATATCCTTGAACTGTCGTCCTGTCCAACTGGCTGTGGCTATGGCTGTGGCTATGGCTATGACTGCCCTAATGGACACGACGAGTGTCATATGAGGAGGCCACCTGGAAACCACCCAACTCAGACAGTGGAAAGGTGTGGCATTTAAATTGCTTCGCTGGCGTCTGGCAAGGAACTTGGCAAGACAATCTGGGAGGGGCTCCACAGAATCGAATCGAATGGAAATCCAGTCGGAGTTCGGAGGAAATGCCAGCACACACGCACCCACACTCGAAGAAAATCAATCCTTTAAACTTAAAACCATAATTTTGTATAAATATCTTAAGATGCATACCAAAAATTATAATTAAGAAATTACATCACTTGGAAAGTAAACAGTTTTCCTCTTGTGCAACCCATTTCAGTCTGAACGATTGCCCAAAGAGTTAACTTTTATTTTTCTGAGTGTCCTAAAACCTCCGCGAAAACTAACCTAACTCTGGCCCTGAAAATTAGGCTAATGATTTTCGGTTGGCCCCGCTGACAAATTGCTGCAGTTCTAGTCCACCACGTGGCTTTTAGTCATCAACCCATGTCCATCAACCGACCTCCAACCCTTGAGTCCACCTTCACACTCCCTCCTCAATTAGGTCAGGCCAACAAGTCGGGATTGCTCATAGATTGCTCATAAAAGATTGTAATGTTTCAATTTAAGACCCGCATCGGACTTTAATTAATCAATCCCTTTGGTAGGGAATTCCGATGGGATTACAATAGCTCATTAACAGCATGTAATCTGAATTTTGAGTGACAAGCTGGCGCGACACTTTACTTCGAAAATTCAATTCCAAAAGGGAGTTTCTTTCAGATAAATAAAAATCAAAATGAGTTTGAAAAAGAAAGTGTGCGGTCTGTGGTGCAAGCACAAGCCTTCGAACAACCAAAAAGCATTGGCCTTAGCCTTGTAAGTGTGAAGATAACGAAAAAGTACAGCACCCATTAAAGTTAGCCAGAGTTGCATGCGAACAGGGTGGCCATGCTGACTAAAAAAGCAACTCTAATTTATTATTTGTTTATGTCCACAGTATGCCATCAGCTGCAACCTTCGGACTGGCTGCAGCTTTGGCTGTTGTTTACTATACCGATTGGAAAGTAATTGCCGGATGGATTCCCCTATACAACACCAAATTTCCGAAGCCCGAAGATCCAAAGAAAGCGAAGAAATAAGAGATGCATCACTTATTTTTAGGCTCTGTGATTGAACAAATTCGAACCCTGAAGATCGTGCCTTTTCTCAAAATATAATTCAAATAAACGTTTTTACTGGCATTCAGTATTTTCTTTGCAGGCCTTTTGCGGTTTAATGTTGCTTGCATTTCGGAAATGCATTTGGTGGAACACGCTTCCAAAATAAATAAATGCTCTGCCAGTCAAAACACAAGCCGAAAGAACAACAAATAAATGGTTGCCACAGCACCAGAAATAGATGAACCGAAAATTTACCCAAAAAGCCCCTTAATCCAAAAAACTACAACTTGGAAACAAATTTTGGGGATTTCTGTTTACAATTTCGCCCCCATTGATCGCTGGTAAATGCAGTTGGGCAACCTGTTGCCCATGTAGATGGTATGGCAAATAAATAAATATAATGGATATGTGATACAGCTACACGGAAAGAAAATAATTTAATTTAAAATAAACTATTATATAATTGTAGCTGATATTTCATCTCAAGAACTTTAAAGCTATAATATATACAAGATATTATTTCTATGAACTGTTAGAATGTCTTCAAGATATCTACAAATGTATGTTTTTCTTTTTTGATAATTTATTTTTAATATTTTCTCTCTGTGCACCTGTGACGTCAGTGGCATAGCATTGACAGCTGCAATTAGCTTGTGAAATTTCCCATTACACATCCCATGTGCGGAAGGCCAAAAAGCGATCTGACACACGCATCTAATTCAGCTGCCTCCACTGCCATCTTTGCATTTTCAAGTGCAAATAATTGCCACACATTCACATGGCATCCCATCCCATTCCATCCATCGGATTGGTTGCACTTTTCTAGCGCTCCAAAGTCGCCCCGATATTCTATATACGATCCGATGCGCGATCTGCGATCTGAGACCCCCTCCTTAGGCACTCCCCTAATCAATTGAATGCCCCTCCTTTGTTTGCATTTTTAGCCCATTCCATTCCATCGGCATTTTTCTAGTTTTGTGTTTTCTCAATGCGAAATTAAAATTCCAATTTTGCTGCCATCTCGTGTTTATTTAGCTGGCTTTTATGAACTGGGGAGGCAAATTGCTCCAGCTTTTTAGCCCACTCTCCTCCCTCTCCATTTGTTAAACAGATTCGCCAACTTGGAAAACTAATTTAATCTGTGAATAATATTTATTATACGATATTTGTTTGATTTTCCTATAAAAGTGTGCGTGACATTTGACTAATTTGCCTGATTGTGTTTAGCTATTATACTTATATTATACACGGAAAAATAACGTGATTATTTTGAGTGAGATTATTTAAATCAATATTATTTTTATGATCTTTAAAAATATGAATATTTGTTTCTGTGTACCCTTTTCCTTTCAATAAATTCCTAGTTTTTATATTTCTAAGAGATCTGCCCTCGTGCTGGTTTCATTTGTGGGTTTCGGTTTTTTTAGAGCATAGCATAAATCAAAACCAGAAACTTATTTTCAGTCGGCCGTTTTTCTGCTGTTTCCACTTTGCTTAATTTATTGATGTGTTTTTCTATTTTTTGTTTTGGGCATTCTGCAACAAAAGTCATTGCCACTGGACCAAAATCCAATTCATCATTTCACCAATTGATTTTTCCAGCACAAACTGATCGATCTGGGATCGTTGAACTTTTACGGGGAATTTAAATAATTTCGATTACGAAACAGTTCGAATATATAGAGCAATGATTGCGCAGAGATACTTGCATCAATTGCTGGTCAAGTTAATTGATTACACACGCAAACAGCTGGCGGGAGATTTTCTGAGCGTTTTGTTAGCGTTTTTCACAGCTGCCCGCGAATATTGTCGCTTAAAAAAATGTACACAAAGAACATTTAAAATCTAAAAACTACCGTGCATATTAATTAGCATATGTGTGCAAATGAGTGGCAGGAGGAGAGCGAGCGAATGCCAGGTCGACCAATTATCGTAATGATGCTCAAGCGCAATTCACTTAAAATCCCCGACACGTCCCCGGATAATGGGGCATATATCATACCCGCCATATAAACCGAGATATTACATATTTATGGCGAGTCTTGGGCGACCGGAACATCCATGTTGCGAGCATAACATAAACCACTGGGACATAGAAAGATATCTAGTTAATATGCAGACGTCGAATTTCTCCGGGAAGCCGGCGTTGGAAACCCCGGATAATTCTGGGCCTGCCTTGGGGAATCTTTAATTAAAAGCGATACCCGAAAATTGCCTGGGAACATTAAGTATTTAATTTATCACTTGGGGCCCCAAGGCGACCTTCCCCATTACATGTCCGCTGGATGGGATCTCGTCTGGCCTGTGTTTGTTTGGAAATTTTGTAAAATATGCCGCCTGCTTGACCTCAGAGTGACAAGTGCGACGGGGGGGAGGGGTGGAGAGACGTCTTGGAATTTTGAAAGAGTTTCCAAAAGTATTTTTAGGGATAGTTCTTTGGCAGGCGGAATATCTGACGTCGCTCGAAAATAGAATTGCTTCATTTCTAATGATATATTAACTAATGCCCATTAAAAACCAAGACTATTTTCGTCGGCAAACAGGAAAGGAACTTGAAGAGAATGGAAAGTGTTTCGGTTAAGGTTAGGTGGGCAGCGGCGAATGCCAAAATCATTTTGGCACCGTATCAAGAGTGAAAAACTTTTGACAAATTCTGCAATTTATTTGAGGCGAGTGGGGAAATTCTCGAGCGTAAGTGATCGTGAGAATTCTCCCTCGCGCTCTCTCAAGCGACTTTTATCGCTAATAAAAATGCCAACAATAGTATAACTTATTTACATAACGTAATAGTGCTCAGCTCTATATATTTATTGAAAAGCTTGTAAATAAAAATTGTGCAACTTAGTTGAAGCGATTAAAAGGGAAACTAAGCTATACTATGTACTGAATTTTTCAAGAGCAAACAAAGAGCGAAAGAAAAACATCGTCCGGAAATCGTAAAAAAAATAAACACATGCCCGAAATTAACAAAAATACCTCTTTAATATACTTAATCCTATTTAAAATATGTTTTTCTGCTTCGGATTAAAATAGCTTTTAAACATATAAATGATTTATATGATTTTAGAGAGAAACCTGTTTAATATTTTATAGCCTTTTAAATTAATGATAATAATTTAATTTTATTTAATTTTTTCTTGTTAAATTAGTTGTGGGATCTTGAGATATAAGAATCCAAACAAATCCCTCCATATTTTCCCCTTGAAAGGGCCAAACAATTACGTACAACTTGTGCAACTTGGCTAAATCGATTTCAAGGGAGGGCAGATGGAAAAACAGTGCTATGGAAACGAACAACCGAATTTTCCGAGAGCAAGTGATCGTGGGTAAGAAAAACGCTAAGAGGGAAAACAAGTTAGAGTCAATGTTCGTTGGCCTAAAACCGGTTCTCAACCGAATGTTTGTGTTTTGCCCAGGTTGGTAGGTAGTTGGCCCACATAATGGACTGAGACCCACTCACCCACGCCCCTCAGGTAGCCGCAAATGGCCCAGAGCATCGGCTATTGAAGCCGTCAACATAATCGGACAGCAAAAACAGCCGGGAATTCCGAATATTTTCTAGGGCTTAGCCCCAGAAGTTCGAGATTCAAATGGGAGTGAGGGTATGAAAATAAATTAAATATTTAATGTGTCCCCAAAGTCTTTGGAGCGGGTGGCATGGCGTGTCCAGGTGGGAGTCGCGTGCCCAGGGACCAGCTAATAAATCTGGTAATCCCCCAAAGGAGTTGGGAATCGGGAGGCGTCGAAAAGGAGCAACTACAAGACACTTGTGTCAACTATTTGTTTGCGTAATTTGTTTATCTCTGCGCTGCTTTCCATTTTAATTGCACGAACTTAGATTAATCTCCACGTGCGCCGGAGACTTAATTATTTTAAGCGCACTTTTCAAAACGCGTGCAAAACGCACTCGGCTCATTTGAATCACTCAGGTGATGCGAACCTCGGCCACCTGCTAATTTGATTGCCCAGCCAACGAAACGCGATTTGGCCACAAATTCTGGCACAAAAAAGATTTGCTTTTGGCCTAGAACGTTGAACCTCTCGTAGGGTTCGCTACACTAAGACAAATAATCTTTAAGAACAAGTTTAACAATTGTTGTGGGGACTAAAATATAAAAACTAAAAGTACTTGTATCAAAAAGGAAAGTTTTAAAAAATATTTAATTCAAATACTTTAATAAAAAGCTATTTATTTAATATTTTTCTCAGTGTTTACCTACTCCAGGGCGAATACAAAAATAAAGTCACACGCTGCGTGGAAATGGAGACCGAAGAAAAAAACAAGAAAACAAGCAAAACCCAAGTCGTTCCCAAAACTGATTAATGTAGCCACCTCAAGTTTCCAGCCGTTTTCATTCATATGCAAAATGTCGAATGGTAACAATTTAATACTATATTATTTCGCTGAGCTCATCACGAAATCGGTAAGAAAAAACTAAAAACAAAAATACGTTATTTGTTTAGCCGTTATACAACAATTATAGATGACCGCCGAACAGGTTCCCCCAAGTGGGTTCCATCTACATATCTGCGACTGAGAATTACGAAAATAAACACAAACCGCAGGTGCAACTGGGAAATATCTGGGATTGATAGGTAGACTCAGTCTAATGGTTCAATTAAGTGCTCTGTAATTGCCAGTGCCAAAACGATCGCTTGAATTTCTTGGCGCAATTTATGAGAATTTTACTCAAATGACTAATGCATCACAAATTGTGTGAATTATGCTAATATTTTGGCATAATTTGTTGGAATGCACACACATACACGCACGCACCTATTTGGATAATTTAAATGCACTGGTTAAATAATTGAAGTTGGGCAGTTTTAACCAATTCAGGGGACTTTAACCGCTGACAACGACGCGACGAAATTGGGCGACTTTAACCGCTGACGTTTGAAATGAAACTGAGGAAATCGCGCCGAAACCGCCTCCGAAGTTAACAGCAAATGTTAAATCTAACAGCGAGCCACAAAATGGTTCCCACAACGTGTGGAACGCAACTGCAAGCAATATTTGATGACTGATAAGACTTTACAATTTGTAAACAATTTGCGTGGGTGAAAAATCTCAGGTGAGATGGAGATAACAGCATGTCTTTAACTGAAGTTATAGATAAGCAGGAGAAAAAGGAAAAAATTATAATACTAGGAAAATTTGGTCTACATTTAACTGATCTGCGCTATAAAATGTACATACAAACTGAGATCACAGAATAACAAGTTTTAAATAGTTTTTTAAAAAGGTTTATTTATTAAAAATTCCTTAAAACAGACTGCATAAAAACATTGAAAATAAATCTTTTTTCAAACTTATATGTTAAAATGATTAAATTAGCATTAACCATTAAGAGTAATTATAATTATTATTATTATTAATAATTATCATTATTATAAATATTATTTTTATTGAATTAAAATGAAAATAATTTTACTTATTTATTATTTTATTAACAGCAGAACACAAACCTTATCAACTTTGCTTGTTTATTGAAAATGTTAAAATATACTTTATACTTATTATAGTAAGTAAGAACCTTTTGTTTTGTAAAGTAGTTGTTTTGATTTGAGTTGGGGTACTCATAGCGTATCTAACAATAGATGGCCACCAAAGTCCACTCCACTGAGACAGACGTTCAAGTTTACTAATCACATTTGCCTGATAACAGCGAAATCTACAAGGAACAGGCGATCCTTAGTATAGATTTCGCTGGAAATATCATCGAAGTTTTCCTTGCCGCAGATAAGTAATTGGCGCAGAACTGTTTTTGTGTTAAGATTAGAGCCTAAAACGATAAGCAGATGACATTCTCAAGAGCTGGCGATCAATTATTGGCATTTAAACGTCGTAATCGTACTCATGACGTTATTCAAGGATTTATTTGCGTCATTTCGCTGGGGCTTAATCGATTAAAAGAATGGGCGTTACGAATTGTCTAAACTTTTCAAAAAGCCCTCACCACCTGCACTAGTTATCGCAGTTCTAAATTATCAAGTACTTATAGGAACTTAGGTAAAATCACACTAATGCTTAAATTGACAACAAATTTAGTTGTTATGTATATATATTAAATGCCCAATAAACCATACCTCATTTTCTTGTTTTAAAGATTTTGTGTTGTCTGTGGAGTATGTTGATTCCAATTGAATTGTATTCGAAATACATATGTATAGATGTATCTATACTAACTAGAAAACAATTATTATGACATAATTTGTTTAATAATCAGCTTTTAGCTTGTTTTAATAAAATAACGGAAACTATTTGTTTCTTTTTTGAAGTTCTCTACATCTATTCTACAGCTTAGCCAGGACCGAAACCAATTCGTACGTCTATCGTTGACTCGCACATGCGCTGGAACCACTAGCAACTGTCAATGCGACAGTGTTCATCAACAACAGCTGTTCATCCATGCGATGAATTAATACAAAAAAAAAGAAGAGATAGTTCTGGAATTTCGTAGTTTTAATTAATTTTAAAAGCAGATTTAGCAAAGCAAAGCAGCCAATGTAAGTCTCCTCAAAGTGGGCAGTCTACGAGGCGCTCGGTTCGACAGGGTTCACTCATTAATTCCCCATTTTTCCGCCTCCCCCACAAATCGGTGCTCGGCGAAACAACGAAAAAGATGTCGGACTGGGACTCTGTGACCGTTTTGCGGAAGAAGGCACCCAAATCGTCGACCCTGAAGACGGAATCGGCGGTGAATCAGGCGCGGCGTCAAGGAGTCGCCGTGGACACGCAACAGAAATGTGAGCGCCGGTTTTTATAAGGGAACTCCTGACCCCCCTGAACAGATGGCCCCCCCTTGCGACCACACCACTGTCTTCGTCTAACCTACAATCACCTCCTGCTGCATTGCGTGGCATTTGTTTTGTTATTTGTGTCAACGCTGCGTTGATTTCACAATTGCATTGAAACTTTAGTAAGCCCTCTGTAGTAAAAACCCCTAATTTCCACCCACAGATGGTGCTGGCACCAATAAGCAGCATGTGACCACCAAGAACACTGCCAAGTTGGACCGCGAAACCGAGGAGCTGCGCCACGACAAGATCCCCCTCGACGTGGGCAAGCTCATCCAGCAGGGACGCCAGGGCAAGGGGCTCAGCCAGAAGGATCTGGCCACCAAGATCTGCGAGAAGCAGCAGGTGGTCACGGACTACGAGGCAGGACGCGGCATACCAAACAATCTGATTCTGGGCAAGATGGAGCGTGTCCTGGGCATGAAGCTGCGCGGCAAGGAGCGCGGCCAGCCACTGGTGCCTCCCGGTAAGAAGTGAGACGATGCTGCCGCGTCTGCCGCCGTAGCCAGTGGCAGTAGGAGCCACCAACACCAGGACTCTGGAGGCTGGAGCACTGTGAGCGGCAGACGCAAATGAAGCATTATCGGGAGGCTGGAGAACCAAATCAAATCGGGTACTACAGCAGCAGCACAGAAACATAGAACCGAAGATCTAATCACCACTATGAGCGCAACTCTTTGTCCAAGCAAAATGGTTTGCTTGCCAATCTTTTTACCGATAAATTAACCATTGTAATTACCCAAAATACACACCCACACACACTACACACAACAAGGAAACGCAACACTATCTGATATTAACGCGCTCATAGCTTGGACATGTGTTACCTTCGTTCATTTTGGCATTAGAGTTTGTTTTGAAACTTGATCTAAGTTATGCAATTAAAACCAAGACATGAAAAGCATGGAAAACACTCGAATTTCTTTCAATCTTCTTCAAATCACCCAATCAGCCATACTCGAAATTTGCATGAACCATGAAATTTGCATTACCATCCAGCTAAAAACACACATTTAATGATAAATGATATATATGCAAATTCTTAGAGCTTAGTCGGACTTTCCCTCTTTTTGTAATTTATCGTGTAAGGGTCTCGAACTGTGTGCGTTTACTAATGCATTATACATATTATACGAGAAACATATGCTAAATGTATTTAGAAACATTTTCTAGTCTACAGAATATTTAAATATTTAAGCGATGGCATTTTCTCGATGTTTATTTGTTTTCCACTGCCCAAAATCCCATTACCACGCAGCTCCGGATTGCGAAAATCGGAGATATACGATTAAAGCCCCATTAATATGCGGCAAAGAGAGACTTCTTTTGACTCGTAATTATCAAATAAATGTTTTCGGCCATCTAAATAACATTTTTAATGGTACTCCAAGGCAGTTTTATTGGGAAGTCGCAATATGTTAGACGAGTTGTGGTTTTAATTGATGATTAATGGGCAAAATATTCAGATAGTGTACAATTTCAACCAAATATTTGCAGTACTAACACAAATTAGACACCAATTTTATAGCTTCGCAATGACGAGATCGAATGCATAAAATTATACAGAATTGAAACCATAGGGGATCATGTTGTCCTGCTGAACGCGGTTTGAACACGATTTTCTCGCATTTACTTTGGTTTCCATTACAGAAACAGCACTTGAGTGGATACTAATTACCTATAAAACCGATTTTTGGTTTTCCTTTGGCCATAGCATAGTCTACACAACTTTTCTTATGCTGTTTACAATTATAATTAACAGATAGATTCCAATTTCTCACTACATAATAAGGGTTTTGCTGCTTCTTAAGTACCTAAAATTATTTTCTAAGCAAAGGCAAAATCAGGGATCTCTTGGTCTGCATTTTTCTGGACAAACAACTTTAAAGCTCGCTCAAAGTCCCAGTCGGCTTGCTCAACAATCGATGTGCACCAGGTGGAAATGAGCCCAGTTACCTCTTGGAACAGGAGCAGTTTGTGGTCCTTGACATCCAGACAGTCCTCTTTCACTGTTCGTTCACTTGGATCCGGATAGTGAACACTAAAGGCGTTTCTAATCATATTTTTCGAGGGACTCGTGATATGTAGGCGCTCATTTGTAATCTTCAGACGGCGAGCTCTTTTACCCAAGCCCTGAAAAGTTTAAAAAAATATTTATCAATCAAATGTGGCTTTAAATCATATTAAAAAAAAATTTTAAATATATCCAGGGTGTATATTATTATTAGACATCGGATTTAAGGTGAAATCGATTTTTTAAATATGATTTGAAGCCACATTTGATTGGTTAAAATTTGTTTACAAAAACCTCAATTAAGTTTTGCCTAAATCTATTTAAAACTTAATAAATAAAATTTTTAAAAAATTAAATGTGGCTTTAAATCGTATTTAAAAACAACGTTTTCACCTACAAACCGATGTTTAATTATTAAGCTCACTTACCAGTCCATCTTCCTCGAACTTGACTACAAACTGCCGGCTGAATCCCAGAAGGAGACCCCCAATCTCCGGCCTGTTGCCGTGGGTCATCTTCATGACCGGCGGCTCATCACGCAGCAAACCGGTCACATAAATAACCGCCATTTTACCATCATAGTGCATTACGTCCGTCTGCAGGGAGTGAAAGTCGTGTGTGACCCTTGGCAGCTGGAACAGAACGCCCAGGATCTCATCAGTGCCAATGTACACGCTATTCGAAGCCCTCGAGAAGTCCTTGTTGTGAAGATTTCGCCCGTGCTTGTTGTACTTAGCTGTGCGTAGAATAATGTGTTATTACAAAGATTATTTAAATAATTAATAACCCACCGATGCGTGGCAAAATCAGGCGGGTTTGGTGATTCTGAACAAGGTGGTAGTTGCAAGTTAGGGTGAAGATCGAGTCGTTGGAGTAATACTTGGCCAGGTCACCGCGCAACTCATCGCTCTCGAATTCCTGCAGATAGTTTTTGAGGAAGACCTGGCCCACCAACTCGTAGGCACCAATGTCGCACAGGAAGTTCTTCTGCATCGACTGACCGGGTTTCGTCTGCAAGTCCACGCCATCCAAGGTGGTCAGCTGCGGAAAGACCTCCTTGACCGCCTGGACATACTCGCTGGGCAGGCTGTAGTTGCGGCAAAGTTGGTTGCCGTGAAGCACCAAAGACTTGAGAGGCAGGTTGCCCAAGAACTTGATCGAATCCAGGTTTAGCAGCCAGTTGTGGCTCAGATCTACGGCCCGAAGGCAGCCCATTTGCGTGAGGACATTCACTTTGTCCACGTGCAGGATCTTATTGCGGCACAATCGAATCTCCGAGCAGGTGGCCATGAATTGCCGCGATGCCACCGACAGAACGTAGCTCAAAATCTTCGCCGAGCTCAGGGACACCACCACGTCCTGCAGGCTCTCGTTGAACTGAAAGCGTTCCAGGTTGAGCAGCCTGTTCTGGGGCACAAAGCACAGCGAGACTGCCTTCTGAATGCACTTCTCCGGATCGAGATGATGTTGCTTGTACGTGCTGACATTCATTCGCAGATGGTAGCGAAAGATCCGATCCGTCGGTAAATCCAACTCCAGATTGCACTTGTTCACCAGGTGTTCAATCTGATCGAAGCAGTTGCGGACGAGAAAAACGTGGTCCGTTTTAATGTACTAAATATAATGGAAGGGATTTGTTAGTTCAGATATAATGGGAAACTGATATGCAAACTCACCTTGTAGTAGCAGGGATAAAACTCGGTGAGAGAGGGATCCAATTTGATGAAGAAAAAATCGAAAAGCACCTCCTTCTCGAATTCGTGTTGGGGATCGGGTATCTATTCGGTAATTTTGGGTTGTGAGTTAGTAAAAACCAAAATCTTAGCCACCATATGGTTCACATATTGAATTCCCGGGAATATCCCAGGTAAACCTACCATAAAGGCATGCCAATCCGGGCTATTTGCAAACCCCTGCAAGTTCCACTTGGTATTGGCATCGATCCGCGCTCCATCGACCTCCAAATCGATCTCCCCTTCCAGCGGCGAAAAGCGCTTGCGCAGCAGGTTAAAGGATTTTCCATCCTAAAGGAAGAGTTATTTATAACCAAATTTAAAAGAAAAATTGTATTTCAATCTAAACTCACCACCAAATTGAAGTTACCCCTCAACGGTTTAATGTTATTCGGAAAGTCCTCACTCTTGCAAATGGGATTATTGTCCAGGAGAAGTTCCCTGGCCCGGAATTGTTCCAGATCGCGACACAAACGATCGGCTGACCTGATCTAGAGATAAACCTTACTAAAGATAATCCCTATAAGAGACCCCCTACTCACCTGGTTGCCCCTTAAATCAAGCAGGGCGTAGTCCACATTGGCGAACAGCGTCAGCGGGCGTATGCTCCGTATGTTGTTATTGGACAAAATGAATCCGTTCACCCGGAATCGTACTAAATCGTTGTTGTGCATCACCTTGCAGACGTGCATCAGGCAACTGGGATTCCCCAGGCTCACCACGATGTTCTTGAACTCCGGATGGGCGCTGAAATTGCTCAGATCCAGAAGATTGTCCACGCCATCTCTTTGGACCAGGCTTTTCATCAGCCTGTCGATCACACAGGAGATGCGGAGCATCGGGGATATCTGGTTCGTTCGGTACTTTGCCACGCCCAGCTGGACGCTGATGGGTATGGGGATGCGGTTCACGCTGATGGTCAGTCGCTGATTGAAGAGATTGTCGATGGCATCCTTGCAGTTCCTCACCAGCATGCTATCCGCACGGGAACCAGCCTAAAAGTAAGGCAAGGATGAGTTAAAGCCCCGCGTAAAGGAGCTACCCACCTGGTAGCAGACTGGAAAGAAGTCCGCCTTGTCCACCGCCTGGTACAGGCCATCCATAATCATCTGCATTTGATCCGCCGCGAAGTTCAGGTTATTGCGATGGTGCACAGTGATCTCGCTCCAGTGGCTGCCCGGAACACGATCTTCGTAGCTGCTGCAGTTGCTGAAGATCTTCGAATCCGGATAGTCCAGCTGGATGGGCGCCGAGCCATCGCCAAAGTCCAGCACTCTTATCTTGGCTGGCATTGCAGGGGAGGATTACTGGCTTGTCTTTTTAAATCTTACGCCAAAATAAATAAATGTCAAAAAAAAAAACACCAAGAGGGTAGTGTTGGAAAATGCCGGTGGCGGTTTCAAAAGTTTCTTTCCAGATTTGGTTTTTATATTCGGCTATGGTGATATTTTTGATACCCTTCGTGTAAAGGGTATTGGGCAGGCACAGGTTAAAACTTATAATTTCGAATCTATTTTTTTTACTGCCCAAAAAAATTGATTAAAAATTCCTTTCAGGTTTGGTAGCTTTTATTCTTGGGCTATTTTTAGGGTAGGTATAGGTTATAAGGTCGAATGTCTTCTTTTTACTGTTTTTTATTGCCCAAAAATCGATGAACTCCCTGCAATGGTATAAAAATTCCACTTAAAAAGGCACCAAAAATTGTAAACCGCTCGTTGCGACAGTCTTCGAAGAACTGACCCGACCCTCTTAAAAGAAAAACACCATATGGAGTAATGAACCGAAATTTCTGCCTGCCTAAGCATTTTTTCCCCATTTACCAACCCGATTTAGAAACCCGAAGCCGAGTCAACGACAATGACTCCTTAACACAACAATTTTTAATCGTTTCGTTCTCTTAAATGGCTACAAGTCTTTAGGAAAGATGTGGAGATGAGTTGAGAGATGGAATCACTTCTTGGGCGTCTTCTTCTTGGCGCTGCAGTTGGCATTATTGGTAGTGGCCTCCTTCTTTCCCTGGTAGAGACCCGTATAGTAGCCGGACATGTACCAGGCGGTGAGCATGGCCACAAAGTCCTGCTCGCCGCCGTCTCCCTGTCCGGCAATCATGGGCGGCACCGGTGGCATGGGCGGCATGACCAGTCTTCCGGATGACTTGCTAGTCTTCGGATGACCAGCAGTGGCAGTCTTGGGAGTTTTGAGCTGAGCAGCAGTGGCAGTGCCCTCCTTTTTGGCCTCCAAGAACTGCTCGCGGCGCACCCGCTTGCCCCAGGTGGGCAGGAGGTCCAGGAGCAGCACCTCCTGCTCGTTCTCGTAGCCCAAGTAGCGGATGACGCAGGTGCCCTTCTCCTCGTCGATCGACACCACGGCGCCCTCGTAGTCCAGGCCATCCACGTAGGTGGCCCGGGCGTAGTCGCCCACCTTGAAGGACACCGGTTCGGGGCTGGTGACCCCGCCAGTGGCCAAATCCTCGCCAGCTTCCTCGTCGTCGGCGGCTGCGTTTTCCTCCGCGCGCTTGTTGGTGGAATCGGCCAGGCGGCGGGCCAGCGCCTCGCGGGCCAGGCCCACGGACTCGTCGTACGTCTTCACCAGCAGGGAGTCATCCCACACGGCGGTGTTGGCCTCGTCGGTCATCTTGGGTGGCTATCCTTTCAGGTATCACGTTTCCAAAAAGGAAGAGAGTTTCGGCTTCTTTTTTGGTTTTTGCGAATTTCGAAAGTGTTGGAAAACACGCGTAAAGCACCTGCACCGCACTAAAATGCAACTATCGCTTAGGGGTGGACCAAATATTCTTTAAAAGAGCGCCAAATTCAAAAATATTTGTTTTTAATAATCAATTATATAAAATAAAAGCAGTAAAAAATCGTATTTACTAGATCACTGCACTAGTAACCTAATTTTGTGGTCAAGCCTAAAATCTTACTGACTTACTTGCAACCCCTTGATCAAATGATCAATGAAATTTGATGACATATGTAGATAGATAATAGTTTTAAAAAGTGTGATTTTGATGAAATGTTTGTACAATTAGTACGTTAAAAACACACTGATACTGATAAGGAATAAATACATATGTAATTAATAGCCAGACAACCAAACATCCGGAATTTGTTTAAAACATCTGAGACGTTGTTCGTGTTCCTTATCAGCAATATTGTTGGTTTCTTTGTATACTAACAGACAGATGAATTTCAGTACTTTTTTAAACTTCTGTTCGAGTGGTTATACTTAATTACTACGGAATTTGGCGAGGCAGAATTGGCCTCACTGATTTGGAGGATCCTTCAAAAGGCAAACGGAGCGCCCAGTGTTCTGTGAGTTCGCCAAGGATCCTTGCAAAGCAGGGTAATAAAGGTCAAACCATTTTTGCCAAAACAATTTGGCTTTTATTATCCTTGAATTGCAGGGAGCTTTGGCAAACTTACAGAACAGTGGATGCTCCAAATTAGAGTGGCCAATTCTAGCGACATCAATTTTTTTTAATTACTTTAACTTTTCGAACAAAACTTTTAAAAAATACTGCATTTTTTTCGACTACTTGTAAGCGTCCAAAACTGTTGGAAAGGAATATGGCAAGCTGGTCGCCTTACACACCAAGCTGTCCAGAATTTCTTGAAGAAGATCACCACAAAAGAGGACTGCGGGAGACTCAGCGGAACCGAAGGACAGGTCGAGGCCTCGAACTCCAAAAATCTTTGCGGACATTGACGAGCTGATAATCGGAGGCCAACTCTTATCAGTGTCCCTGGAATGTTCTAATATCAATATACATGTGTCACAACAAAAAACGTAAAACAAAGATTAAATTAAACCATGTTTAGACTATATTTTTGTCCATTCGTTTGCTAAATACAAATACAAGAACGCTGATAAATGATTTTTGTTTTAAAGAAGGTCGAGTGCCAGTTTTTGAATTTAGGCGGATGTGTGATGACGATATTGTTGGGTTGTAATCGATATCTGAGCCAGCGCACGATAGTTTTGATAGCTTAGTGTTCACATCTCTAAAACAAAATAATAACAAAGTTGTTTTGAGAATATTTGTAAATAATTTTAATCCGCTAGATAGATGGAACACATAAAAGATCATCTGTAGGACGAGGAAATAACTTAAACTACAATAAAATAGAAGAATATCTGCCATCTAGATTCTGGATCACCTTGCTTTCAATATTGATCTAAATACGAGAGGTAGTTTGAGTTACAGTTGAGATCTTTGTATAACTTTATTAATTCATTTCAGAGCCATGGGATCAACAGTATGCCGGGTCTGCCTGGCAAATTCCGACGACATGGTCAATATATTTGAAGAGACAGTGGGAGTTTCCATTGCGACTATGTTATCCGAGTGTACAAGGTTTAAAATTAAGAAAGGTGACCGATTTCCGGAAAACATTTGCAAATCCTGCCTGCAGGACGCAAAAACTGCATTCAAGATGAAGAAAACCTACGAAAGGAGTCGCCAGATCTACTGCCAATTAAATAAGGATTCATTGAAGGACGACCTACTGGAGGAGGAAGTGTGCGAGGTTTCGGATTCCGAGAATGAGGATTCAAACATTGATGGAGAAGTTCTTGACCATGTTGACCAAACAATAATAAAAGTCGAGGATCTGGATAAGGGTTCTTTAAAGGAAGATGTGTCCAAAAAGTCGGATAGCGAGAATATGGAATCCAACACTGATGGAAAAGCTCTTAGCCCTGTTGATTCAGCAAAAGGAGATGGTTATGAGGAACCCCATATAAAAGTGAAAAACGAACCACTTGAAGACACTTTTGAGGAAGAATACAGTCCTATTTCAGAGAGCGATTTCGATCAGTGCGACAGCCAAGTGAAGATCGAGCAAAGGGAAGATGATTTCCAAGAAAGTGATCATGGCTCCGGAAATAATGAAATGAATATTTATAGTCCGCACAAATGCTCCTATTGTCCGAAGATTTGCATATCAAAATCACATCTTGAGCGACACCTACTAACCCACACAGAACAAGAGATACGGTGCTCCATTTGCTCAAGAATTTTCGCAAATCGTGGAAATCTTACAAGACATTTAGCTGTCCACAAACGAGAACGACCGTTCAAGTGTGCCCAATGTCCAAAGGCCTTCAAAACGGATGGACAACTAACGACACACATGAAAGGTCACACAGGAAAGCCAACATTTAAGTGCACCAACTGCCAAAAAACATTTTCGAAAGATGCGACATTACAAAAACATTTGCGAACCCACACAGAAGAACGGCTTTATCAGTGCTCTCTTTGCTCAATGTCTTTCTTAAACGGTGCAAATCTTTCAAGACACTTTATTACCCACACAGGAGAACGACCGTTCAAGTGCACCAAATGTCCCAAGCGGTTCACCCAGAAGTGCAATCTCCGTGTTCACATGCTAGGCCACACAGACAAACGGCCCTTCGAGTGCGCCCATTGCTCCAAGAGCTACGCAGTGAACTCACAGCTTCAGATCCACCTAAAAACGCACGCAGAGCACCAATTTAAGTGTACCCACTGCCCAAAAACTTTCTCACTAGATACCAACTTTCAAAGGCATTTGCTAAGGCACACAGGAGAACGACCGTACAAGTGCTCCCTTTGCGCAAAGACCTTTACAACTGCTGTCAATCTTGAAAGACATTTTGTTGTCCACTCAGGAGAACGGCCGTACAAGTGCTCTCAATGTCCAAAGACCTATATCCAGGAGGAGCATCTTCGGGCACATACGAAAGGCCACACGGGCTCCCACGGGCGAGAAGGGGAAAATAATGGCAGCCCAAGGAAGAGGGAGCACTCCAGATCTAGATCCCTCTCGTCCGACCAGTAGGATCCAAGATCTTCCCGGTATTGTCACCCCCCAAGGAGTCGGAATCGCTGCCGTAGTGGTAGCTTCTACTGGAGAGACCGACAAAGGAGTCATTATTGGCGATCCCACCCTGATTTGGGAGATCCATTTGCCAGCTGTCGATGCCGACATCGTCCCACTTTCCTGTGTTTCGTACATCAAAATATTGAATACAAAATAAAAACAAGAAAGGAAGTTTATAACACGCTTGCAGGCATTTAAAATGTTGGTTACAATGATTGCTTTTGATTATTCCTATGGAAGCCATAAGATATAGTGGTCTGATCCGACTCGTACATACATATGTATGTACTACCTGCTATAGAAAGAAGACTTTTGGGAAAGTTGCATCGCGATAGCTTTAAAACTGAGAGACTAGTTCGCATGCCCCTGGAATGTTACTAATATCCATCTACATTTGTCACAAAAATACATAAAACAAATATTAAGTTAAACCATGTTTAGAATATATTTTTGTACATTCGTCGGCTAAATATAAAAATAAGAACGTTGAAATAAATGACACAATTACAATGCCATTTTTTAAATTAAGCGGCTGTATGATGACGATATATTAAATTGTAGTGTTGTAATCGATATCTAACCCAGTGCACTATAGTTTTGATATCGTAGCGTACACATCTCTAAAGCAAAATAACAAAACATGCAATTTTTTAGAACAAATTGTTTGGTTTGGAAGTAACTTAATATTAAAAAAATAATAATAATTGGCGGTAGCTGTAAGTCCACTCGAAAGGGGAATCATTTATGTGTCCGCCTGTAGGGCGAGAAACAAACTAAAGTACAAAAAAAGAAAGGTAGTTTGAGTTAAAGTTGAGATCTTTGTATAACTTTATTAATACATTTCAGAGCCATGGGATCGACAGTATGCCGTGTCTGCTTAGCAAATTCCGACGACATGGTCAATATATTTGAAGAGACAGCGGGAGTTTCCATTGCGACTATGATATACGAGTGTACAAGGTTTAAAGTTGTGAAAGGTGACCGATTTCCACAAAACATTTGCAAATCCTGCCTGCAGGATGCAAAAACTGCATTCAAGATGAAGAAAACCTACGAAAGGAGTCGCCAGATCTACTGCCAATTAAATAAGGATTCATTGAAGGACGACTTACTGGAGGAGGAAGTGTGCGAAGTGTCGGATTCCGAGAATGAGGATTCAAACATTTATGGAGAAGTTCTTGACCATGTTGAACAAACAATAATAAAAGTCGAGGATCTCGATAAGGATTCTTTAGAGGAAGGTTTGTCCAAAGTTTCGGATAGCGAGAACGTGGAATCCAACTTTGATGGAGAAGCTCTTGACCCTGTTGAGTCTGCAAAAGAAGATGGTTGTGAGGAGCCACTTATAGCAGTGAAAAACGAACCACTCGAAGACACTTTCGATGAAGAATTCAGTCCCATTTCAGAGAGCGATTTCGATCAGTGCGACAGCCGAGTGGCGATCGAGAAAATGGAAGATGAATACCAAGAAAGTGATCACGGTTCCGGAAATAGCGAAGCTAAGGTTTATAGTCCGCACAAATGCTCCCATTGTCCGAAAATATGCATATCTGAGAAACAACTCAAGAGACACTTGCTATCCCACACAGCACCGGACCTTCGGTGCTCCCTTTGCTCTAAGCTTTTTTCAAGTCGTGTGAAGCTTGAAAGACATTTAGCTGTCCACAAACGAGAACGACCGTACAAGTGTTCCCAATGTCCAAAGACCTTCAAAACGAATGGACATCTGGAAACACACATGAAAGGCCACACAGGAGTACAACATTTTAGGTGTACCCACTGTAAAAAAACGTTTTTGGAAGATGCCAAATTACAAAAGCATATGCAAACCCACAAAAGAGAACGACGTTTTCAGTGCTCGCTTTGCTCAATGTCTTTCGGACAATCTGCTCATCTTTCAAGACATTTTATTACCCACACAGGAGAACGACCGTTCAAGTGCCCCCAATGTCCAAAGCGGTTCAGCCAGAAGTCAAATCTCAAGGTACACGTTCTACTCCACTCAGATAATCGGCCGTTCGGGTGCTCCCAATGCTCCAAGTCTTACGCGTTCAAATCACAGCTTCAGACCCACCAAAAAAAGCACTCAGAAGCACATTTTATATGTTCTTTCTGCCGAAAAACTTTTTTACAAGAGGACATTTTTCAAGAACATTTGCTTACGCACAAGGGAACGCGACGTTTTCAGTGCTCTCTCTGCGTCAAGGCTTTTACAACTGCTGGCAATCTTCAAAGACACTTTGTTGTCCACTCAGGAGAACGTCCGTTCAAGTGCTCTCAATGTCCAAAGGCCTTTCTTCAGAACGCCACTCTGGGCGCACACATGCGAATCCACACAGACTCCCAGGGAGAAAAGGAAAATAATGGCAGCGCAAGGAAGAAAAGGAAGGAAAAGGAGGAAAAGGAAGTAGGGAGGCTGCGTCAAAGATCCTCCCGGGCCACCAGAAACTCTCGTCTCAGATCCAGATCAGAATCTCAGTAATCCGAATGGGAGAGAAAATACAGAAGACATTGTCACCCGTCAAGGAGTCGGAATCGCAGGAGACATCGACAAAGGAGTCCTTATCGACCGATCCCAACCAAATAAAATATTTTTACGATATTAATAGAGACGTTACTATTAATGAATAAATAATAATAAAACAACAAAATACATGGGAATTTAGTAAACAGGTTTTCTACAATTTTAATTCTTAAATACTATTCAATAACCCAAAAAATAAAACAACAAAATACAAGAAAAATTCAGAAAATAGCAAACTACTTTTTTTTCTATGTTGATTTTACATATTTTTTTTTGTTTTGTGTAGGCATGTGAATACTTATAAAATATAAATTATAATTAGGGGGATACAACAAAAAGTTTAAAAACAATAAACTAACTTATATAACAAATAATTTTAAAATAAATATTTTTCCCAAGTTAAATTTAAATAAATACCCTGCGATAACAACATAATCGATAACTCCACGTAAACATCGATTGCAGCCACCTCTGTGCCGACACGACGGCAACTACCATCACTAAAAAAAAGCGAAAATCATCTTGCAACGCGAATTCTGCAAAATACAATTTAAGTGAAATATAAGCTTAAAATGGCCACCGTGGAAGCCCTCTACAAGGAACTGACCGCCGAGTGGGCGAAGCGGCCGCCAAATACCGTCAGGTGCGGCCAGCTGCTGGATCAGTTGAAGGTGGCGCTGGTGAAGATGGCCTTCCTGCCGACGGACGGAAACGACGCCCAGAGCTCCAAGAAGCAACTGATCCTGGCCAGAAGCGTGCTCGAGGTGGCCGTGGAGCACAGCGTGCTCAGCAAGGACCTGCTCGCCTTCGAGCGCTACATGGCGCAGCTGAAGTGCTATTACTACGACTACGCCAAGATAATTGGCGAGTCGGAGAGCAAGTACAAGCTGCTGGGCCTCAATCTGCTCTACCTGCTCTCCGGCAACCGGGTTTCCGACTTCCACACGGAATTGGAACTCCTCTCCGTGGATGTCATCCAGCACAATCAGTTCATCCGCCCGATCCTGGCCCTGGAGCAGTACATCATGGAGGGCCGGTACAACAAGATCTTCCAGGCCAAATCGACGGTGCCCGCCGAGGTGTACAGCTACTTCATGGACCTGCTGGTGGAGACGGTGCGCGACGAGATCGGTGCTTGCATCGAGAAGTCCTACGACAAAATCTCCGCCAAGGATGCGGCCAAGCGGCTCAACCTGCGCGTCCCCGACGAGATCAAGGCCTTCGGCGAGAAGCGCCAATGGAAACTGGAGGCCAGCGGCGACTACAGCTTCACCGACCGCAGCGTCAAGCCCAAGGAACTGCTGCCCTCCGAGGAACTGGCCGAGCAGGTGCTCAGCTATGCCCGCGACCTCGAGATGATAGTCTAAATCTAGGATGGCCAGAGTAGGGTTAAGAAAACAGTCCTAAATCGCTGGAAACCACAATTTTTATAGTAATATGTATCTGTATGAGAAAAGTAAAGCTAACTCCTCTTTAAACTGTATAATTGAATTTTTCTTGAATGGATATTACATTACATTTTTGGGTTTTATATTAAATCCCCAATCAGTAATTGAGGAGAATGATATATCCCATTATTAAATATTAATATTAATAGTAATTTTTAGTCTAGTTTTTAGTTTTTAGGCGACAAAGGAACCATTGACCGGACTGTCCCATTTAAATAAATATTATTCTCCCCAATTCCCGATCACGGTATTTTGAAAATCCCGTGACTCGATAGAAATCACTGGTTGTGTCGGTGTGACCGTTTACGCCCGCACTGCCCCAGGGATTAGTGCAACCCCCTGCGACGGCCACACCAGCGCGAACGACATAAATTTTCGCTCTGCGATTATTTGTAAAAAGCATTGCTTAAAAAGCAAATAGAAGAAATTATAGCATAATCCACGCCATGGCCTGCAACGCTAGCAAGACGTCGCTCCTGCGCGCCATCGCCGTAAGTCTCGACTTAACCAACAAAAGGTTACGGCAGCGCATCGCGTAAACGGGGAGGCTCGTGGTTACGTAAAACTTAAAACAGCACCCCAAGTTGCCGTCCCAAACAAAGTGGAATTTAACCATTGCAATGATCTAACCACCCTGTTTACCTGCAGAAACGAGGCTACGCCACCTGCCCGCGTCCCGTGGGCGATCTGTCCGCCGTGAACGTCAAGGTGCTGGAGAACAAACTGGTGGTGGCCACCGCCGATGCCACTCTTCCCGTTTCGCGGGTCTCCTTGGTGCTGGGGTGAGTCTGGTGGCCAGAATCATAGTTAAATCCATCAATTAATCCCCTAATTACAGAGCTGGTTCCCGCAACGAGGCCTACGACACCCAGGGCGCCTCGCACCTGCTCCGCTTGGCCGGCGGTCTGAGCACCCAGAACTCCTCCGCCTTCGCCATCGCCCGCAACATCCAGCAGGTGGGCGGCACCCTGACCACATGGGGCGATCGCGAGGTCGTCGGCTACACGGTGACCACCACCGCGGACAACGCCGAGACCGGACTGCGCTACCTGCAGGATCTGCTGCAGCCCGCCTTCAAGCCCTGGGAGCTGAACGACAACGCCAAGACGGTGGTTAACCAGCTGAATGCCGTCTCCACGGAGGTAGCTACTCCTTATCTTTGGCCTAAGCCTTCCACTAATCCCCTATCCCCCACAGCAACGCGCCATCGAGCTGGTGCACAAGGCCGCCTTCCGCAACGGCCTGGGCAACTCGATCTACTCGCCCCGCTTCCAGCTGGGCAAGCTCTCCTCCGAGAGCCTGCTGCACTACGTCGCCCAGACCTTCGCCGCTGGCCGTGCCGCCGTCGTGGGCGTGGGCATCGATAGCAACACCTTGGCTGGCTTCGCCCAGACTTTGCAGTTCCCCAGCGGCGGTGGAAAGGCCGCCTCTGCCAACTGGTATGGCGGAGATGCCCGCAAGGACACCGCCGGCCATCGGGCCGTCGTCGCCGTGGCTGGACAGGGCGGTGCCGCCGCGAACCCCAAAGAGGCGCTGGCCTTCGCCATTCTGGAGCAGGCTGTTGGCGCCCAGGCGGCCACCAAGCGCGGCATTTCCGCCGGACTTTTCGGTGAGGCTGTCAACTCCGCCGGCGGCAATGGTGCCGTCGTCAAGGCTTTGAATGCCAGCTACTCGGACGCCGGACTGTTTGGATTCGTGGTCTCCGCCGATGCCAAGGATGTGGGCAAGACTGTGGAGTTCCTGGTGCGCGGCCTGAAGTCCGCCGCGGTGTCCGAGAAGGATGTCAGCCGTGGCAAGGCTCTGCTGAAGGCGCGCATCATCTCGCGCTACTCGTCGGACGGCGGTTTGATCAAGGAGATCGGTCGCCAGGCGGCGCTCACCCGGAATGTCCTCGAGGCGGACGCCCTGCTCAGCGCCATCGATGGCATCTCGCAGTCGCAGGTCCAGGAGGCGGCCAAGAAGGTGGGCAGCTCCAAGCTGGCCGTCGGCGCCATCGGCCATCTGGCCAGCGTTCCCTACGCCTCCGATTTGGCCTAAGTAGATAACACACACCTGTACATCTGTTAACCGTAATGTAACGACTAAATAAACCTGTTGAGGGCAACGATCCGATACTTAGAAATCCTATTTTAATTGGTTTTGGTGTATACATAAATAATCAAACTTTGGGTTAACGATGGGTCATAATAATATAAACTAAACTACCACCACAACGATAATGGCCACGAACAAGGCGATGATGATAAGCCAGTAGCCCCAGGTGCTGTCCCGCCGGTTCACCTGTCCAATGCTCTGCGTTTCCCGCTGCACGCCCGACTCCACGCGGTCCATGGCATTGGCCAGATTGTCCAGGATGTCTGCAAGATAAGGAGGATAAGTAATGGCTGCTTAGTGATCGAGGGATACCCACTGTTCTGGTCCTCCACTTCGTTGCCCAGCTGGGTGGCCAATTGCCGCTGCCTGGAAAGGGTAGCCGATAGAACCTCGAGTCCTTGGTTCTGCTGCTCCAGCATTTCGATCTTTCGCTGCTTCAGGGTCTCCACATCCAAGGCGGTCCTGCCTTGACCCGCGGCGAGATCCTGATCCTGCCAAGCGGAGGCGGATGAGGAGGCGGCGGCCAGGACATTGGAGCGCGTGCTATTGGCGAACTTCTCGCGGATTTCGCGGAGCTGCGAGGTGAGTCGCTCCCAGTCGATGCGCCTCTGCTGCAGCTCCTCCTCCGGACTCGTTTCCCAGGTGACGGCGTTGTCCAGGACAACCTTCAGGTGCTTCACATCCTTGGCCAGCTGCTCCAATCCCGCCTGAATGCTGCCCGTCAATTGGACGTATTGGCTCGCCTTTGGACTGATCTGCTGGCGCTGATTAAGGTGGACTAGCAGCTGGTGGCGCAGTCGCTCGCAGCCCTCGTACTCAATGTCCCAGGAGTCGTGATCCACCAGAGCCATTTTTCCGACTTATCTGTATTTCGTAGGCTATGAGTAATTATCAAAAAAAAACAAAACTGCGCCTCAAGGAAGCCACACAACAAAAACAAGAGCAAAGCGTCAGCTGATTAATGCAATTGCAGGTCCAAAGCAACAGCGAGTGTACGGTCACTCTAATCACAAGGGATTTCTTAAAAAAAAAAGTGTACTATTACAAATATTTAAAAAGAATACAATTTTTAGTAAAATCTTTTGGAAACAAAACATTTTTGGAGCTATTTAGAAATCATGTTTACAAACATTCCAAAAAATCAAAGAAAATCTGAGGATCCCATTAACAAATGCAGTGCTTAGTTTAAAAAAAATAATTTATAATGAAGGAATACCCCATTTCTATAATTTATTATTTACACATAATTGGATCCATTTCAAAAATGGAATCTGGTCACGTGGAAAATTGTCAATATTATGTATTTTGTTGTTTATTTCCAAATTGTTCTCCAAAATTGAAATGTTTTCTAAATTACTTCCCACCGTGTTACTGTATGGCGGCCGCAGAACCTACTCCATTTGCTCCAAAGTCTACTCTATCCCCACAAGTAATAAAACAGCCACTGGCCACTTGCTGAAGCTTCCCAACTTGTGTTTACAGGCAAGGGGATATGGAACACATATAGTTATTCGGCACACCAAAGATCGATTCTATATCGACATTCAGGAACAGCGAGCCGAGTTGCTGTATTCCGTTGCTGAAGGAGTGATGACCATTCAGAGCACCCAAGTTCCCAAGGAGCTGGGAGGACACGGGATTGGAAAGCTTTTGGCGAAGGCGGCACTGGACTTTGCATTGCTCAATGGAATGTTTATTGTTATCAAATGCCGATTTGTCCAGCACTATATTGACAAATATGAACCGCAATATGCCAAGTACATTTTGAACTAGGCAGTCAAATGTTTCAATTTTATTAAAATTAACAAATTTAAGGGAAAACAAATGTAAGGCCAACTTACCCAATAAATAAAATGCTTCACCATATTTAGTAAATATTTTTTACATATGTAGTTATTATTGCTTGCGATCAGTAAAAATCTTCAATCATTTTTTGGGAATATTCACTACTTGAAACCAAACTATTCCATTCAGAAGGTATAATTTTTTCTCGCTCAATAATAAAAAAAACATGTAGTATAACAAATAAAATAAAAAAACATTTAAATAAGCCACGGCTTTACTCCAAAACCAATCATATTAGGTGGATGAATTGAAATAATTTCATTTAATGTTTCTTAAAATTATTTTTTTTTTCCAAAATGTTTTTTTTATCCATTTTTAGAACAATAAAACTTTTGATTATTATGAGAGTCTAGCTAGAGTTTTGGGAATATCTACTTCAAATGTTAGGTAAATAAAACACAATATTCGAAAAAAAAGTGGGAGGGGAAGGGTATTTCCCTAAAATATTTAAAGTATTTAGTGGTTCGAATATACCAGAATTGTTTGTTGTATACGTGTGACCAGTCCACCCACGCTCCTACGATAGTTGTGACCGGCACAGGAACACCAAGTTACTGCATCGAGAAGGTGGCACAAGTCACCCACACACGCACGCATTGCGGTACGATAGCTGTGACTCGAAGAGTGGAAAATGTCACTGATTTTGATTGATTAGAACAATTAATAAAATTCGGCTTCTTTACTCACTTTAATTTGTTTGAGCAGTGGAAAGGGAACTATATTTTAGATAGTTTTATATATAACTATCGCGACTGCCCGTGACATTCCGCCAAAGCCGTGACTGTTCGCAATGAAATAATCGCGACAAGTAACAGGTACGCAACTATCGCCCATCCCTAGCCCAACTCACACGTACACACAATTTAGTCGTGATTTCTATTTTATTTGTTTCAAATTACAGCCAAAAAGGAAACAAAACGCGATAAAAAACCGCTGGCCGCAATGCCGAGTGCCCGTTTAACCGTGCGCGAGCCTTCCCACTAATCGGAAGCGAGCGCGGTCGCCGTTTTCATCGTTTTCCGCCCGGGAGTGGGAGATCGGAAAATCATCATCAGCAGCAGCAGCAGCAGGAGCATCGGTCCGCCGCAGAGCAGGGCTATATATTGGATATAGGATATATTGGATATATCGGGGGACCCAGAGCCAGCATGGAGCGGCGCGTGAAGCTGAAGACGATAAATCCGCACATCACGTGCAAGATCTGCGGGGGCTACTTCATCGATGCCACCACGGTGACGGAGTGTCTGCACACATGTGAGTAATAATAGTAATAATGGAGTAATAATAATGCCCAATAATATATCTCTCATCCATTTCAGTCTGCAAGAGCTGCCTGGTGAAGCACCTGGAGGAGAAGAAGACCTGCCCCACCTGCGACAACATCATCCACCAGTCGCATCCCCTGCAATACATCAGTTTCGATCGCACCATGCAGGACATTGTGTACAAACTGGTGCCGAAACTGCAAGAAGGTGGGTGTAAGATGGGTTTCTGCCACTCTATATATAATCTACATATATATATTTATCTTCCAGATGAATCGCGCCGGGAGCGGGACTTCTACAAGAGCAGAAACATGCCCTGCCCCAAGGACATCACGCAGAACCACGAGGAGGACAACGAGAAGGTGATGGACGCCCACGCCGAGTCCGACTTCCATCGCCTGGACGAGCAGGTGAACGTGTGCCTGGAGTGCATCAGCAACAACTTCAAGAACCTGCAGAGGCGCTTCATCCGCTGCAGCTCGCAGGCGACGATAACGCACCTCAAGAAGCTGGTGGCCAAGAAGATTCTCAACGGCATTGAAAAGTACCGAGAGGTGGGAAAAATTCCTATTCAAATCACTCCTGTTTTGGATTGTATTATAACTAAATCTCTGCCCTTCCAGATCGACATTCTGTGCAACGAGGAGCTCCTGGGCAAGGATCACACGCTGAAGTTCGTCTACGTGACGCGCTGGCGCTTTCGGGATCCTCCGCTCCGCCTGCAGTTTCGTCCACGGGTCGAGCTCTAACCACTGTTTTAGTCTAATGCCACAAACAAATGATCTATTTTTATAATTTATTGACAAAGCGTATATATCGTAATTAGGAGAGAGTCGCTAGTGTTAGGCCCCCCAAAAACCATGTGTGTATGTGCAAGTGTACATGTATAAAGTCGTAATTATATGGTTATCCCTCCTAGGATTAAGTAACTTCCTCTCCCCAACTCGTGTGACCCCTTTGTTGCCGCCCTTTTCGCTGCATTTGCTCATGATTTAATCAACCTTCTCCGTTTGCAATATTTTATGTTCTCCTCCTTTAGTTTCAAATATATGTATTTATTATTTTAATGTACAAAACACACGAATGTAAATAAATTTGTAATTATGTCGAATGGTTTATTGTTTTTTTTAATGTGGTGGCTGCCACGCGTTTCTGTGGCCAAATCGGGGCGCTCCCAGGTAAGGCGGACGATGGCGGAATCTGTAGGAGGCAGCTGGAAAAGGTGGAGGACGTGGTGGCCGCTGGTAGCCAAATCTTGGCGGTGGACCCATTGCATATGTCCCATACATTCCCTGGAAAAAAGGTTGAAAAGTATTAATGGGAGGGAAGTATTTGTAGTGAAGTATCTGCAGTCAATAATATCAAAAAACCTAAAATAATTTTAGGTTTATATTAATGTTATAAAAAAATTGCAGAATAAATTATTTTTAATGTTCCAAAAATGCGTTACAACTATTGGGCTATTTATGCTAACAAATGATATCGTAAGATTTACATCTGATATATTTTTTAGATCTTATAAAAACAAACTATATAAATGAACTAACGTAGAAGTAAACTAACAAACAGTCTATTATATCAAAAACCCTAAAATAATTTTGTTTAACAAAATATATTAGTGTTATAAAAAAAATTGAAAAATAAGTCATTTCTAATGGACCCACATTGTTCCAATTTACATCTGATATCTTTTTTAAATCTTACATATAAAAACAAACTATATATAAATCTACTAACATAGAAATCCTGTGCTGGCACTTGGACATAGTAGTTGATGATCTTTGGCGGCGGATGGTACCGATGAGGACTCCTCTGTCGGTGTCTCCGGTCACTGCTGCTGCGACTCCGGCTGCGGTTCCGACTCCGCGAGCGGTGGCGTTGCCTCCTGGATCTGCTCTCCCTTCCGGTTGAGTGGGATCTAGATCTGGAGCGGGATCGGGAGCGTCTGCTGGATCGGGGAGATCTTTGTCGCAGTCTCCTCACTCGGTCCTCTTCCCTCGCCACATCTGCGAAGTAGGGCACCTTGTGCTCCTCCCTTTTGCGCTCCCTCTCCCTTGGGCGCCCATTGTGCTCCCTTTCTCGCCGGGATCGCGACCTGGGGCCATGGGAATCTGGGTAAAAAGAGAAGGGTTAGTTTGTGCTGCATCTCGTCTGGAGTCCACATAGTGCGCAGTTGAGTGTCCCATAATCCTAGCTTCTTTGTCTGCTCCTCCAGCGTTCTTTATCATCCATTTCACACTTCACACGATTTGGCACTAGAAAAAAAACAACAAAAAGATTGCACTTGATGGATCCCAATCCGATCGAATATACTCTATATATATATATACCTCGGTGCACGGTTCCGCTGCTGTCGGCGTCCATTTTCATCGGAAAATGCAGGGAAATTATGCACTTTGCTTTAGTGATGACACTCGGCACTCCACTTTTAGTGTGCCCAATTAATTTCGATTAGTTATCGATTATGTTTGTTATTCTATAGAGTTAAAAAAAAACGGTTATTCAAATAAGAAAATTCATCTATAAACGCTTTTATTTCATAAGTACACGAGAATACAATGCAAAATTTGCTCAAACAATTGAAATACAGGCACAAATAAGATTCAAAACTTAAAGCTAAGTGGCACATTGATGCGCTCGCTCTCCATGGAGACCACGATCATTGGCTCCCCTTCGATTGAATCCCGCCTGGGCGATCGCAGCAGGCGGACATCGATCTCCGCCTGACCGCCATCCGGCGCCACATAGCACTCGGTGGGGCTGATCCTCACCAGATTCGGTACACTGCAGCTAATCTCGATGAGCTGACGCGAACGGAAGCTGTTTGTCACGGACAAAGTGGCCAGGGAAGAGCCGCCCACTCCAAATTCCAGCGCAGCAGGCTGCACAGACCAATTCCGCTCCAAGGGCATCATCAAGGTGGTGGTGTCCGCCTCCATTAACTCATCCACGGGCTCCAGCAGGTTACTCTGCGTGGGCGTCGGCGAACTGGCCACGCAAATCGTTCGGAACAGCACGGTTTCCTCAGCCTCCGGCAGGAACATTAGCGAACTCTCCGACGACTCATCAAAGTCGCGATTCAGCGTGAGCGCCACATCGATGATCCGCACCACGGTGACCAAATCCAGAATGAATTCGGGCGGTTCGTTGAGCTGCCCGATATTCCGCACCGGCTGTTCCTCCGGAAATTCACCCCAAATGCTTTCCAGCATGGGCGACGTGAGCTTCTCCCGCTGACGACTGCTCATCCTTTGAACCAAGCTGCGCATGCGCTGCCTATTAGGCTCGTCGCCGCAGAAAATCCGCATGTTTGCTAGGGTTAAAACCTGAGCCGTTTTCTTGAGTATGTTCTTTAGATCCTCCCGATTTGGACGGAAGAGGATCTGCACGCTGCCCTCGCTATTCGGCGGCAAGATCATCCGACTGGGACGCACTTCAAAGGCTTCGCTTAGTCTTAGTTTCATTAGCACTGTGGAGTCCACTGAAATGCCCACAAAAGCGGTCAGTGGACCCTTGTTGTGGAACCTTAGGCTTGCAGTTAGAGGACCGGCTGAAAGTTCACACACATCGCCGATGGTGAGGAAGCTGGCGCCCACGGGTCCCTTGAGCAAACCCTGTATGCTGATTGAAGCACTGCCTCCATAGCCGTACAGTGGGATCTCCAAGCCCGGCTGACTGCTGTTATTTGCTCCAGGTGGCGCATAAAAGGACAACGCTCCGATGGCCGCGCCACAGACAGTGGGACAAAAGTTAATCACCACCGAGCGGCATTCCATGGCCTGCAGTGTGATGGTGCTGCTGTCGGAGCCAACGAGCTGGAATCCCGGTCCCTGGATGCCCAGCCGGATGACCAGTCGCTTGTCCGCCGTGTTCTTCACCTGCATGGACTTGCGTACGTCTGTCCGCAGCTTTGTGCTGCCCCAGCAGAGGCTCGTGTGGGTCACTTTCAGGGGGAGAAGCTTCCCATCACGGTGGCTAAACTCACTGGAGTTGGAGCAGCGCGAAATGCTGCGCGGTGCGGTGAGAGAACTGGTTCCCAGGCCACGTTTCGTTGTGAATCCGCTGGTGGAGCTCGCCTCGCTGCCCGCCGGCGAGGAGTTGGCCTTACGTGCTGCTGCTGCTCCTGCTACTCCACCACTCATGAGCTGCCGGCGCTCGGAACTGGTGGTGCTGTCCAGCAGCGGCGACGAGAGGCAGCTGCGCGGCGAGGACAAGGGCGATAGGTTCTTGGCCAAGCTATTGCTTGCCAAATCGCAGCCATCCAAGCGTGTGCTGCTCAGGGAGGAGGGATTCCTCGGCATTAGCCCGGGAATTGTGGAGATGGAAACCCTCTTCTTGTTCACCGGCGTCTTGTCCTCATCGGTTTCGTCCTCTGTGCAGGTTAGTAAACGCAAACCATCGCTACTCGCTGGACTGGCGGCCCTGGGGGAGATCTTGGTGCGCCTTACGCGCCGGCTAGGCTCCTTCACCGGCGTCGAGGGCCACTCATCGATATCCGCCTCGGCCTCCGTCTCCACGGGTTCGGTGGCCGCACGGCTGATGGTGATCTGCGGCTGGTCGGCGGACAGCGGACTGAGTGGCTTGCGCGACACGCTGCTCTGCTGCAGGTGGCGAAAGTCCGTGGAGTTTAGCACCGAGTCGGTGAAGCTCATCGTGTTGGAGTTGCTCAGTGTACGCTCCTCCCTGTTCTCCTTGTTCTCCTCATCCTCGCCATTCCAGCCACGTCGATGCTCCCACAGATGGTTGACCACCTCCACCGTGGAGGTGTCTGAATTCAAATCTATGTCCCGCAGCGCCTTGTCAATAGCAGAGAGGCTGAGGATCTCGGAGCTCGAGGGCGGCCTTTTGGGCTCCTGGGCCTTTAGCACCGTCTGTATGCGATCCTGCTGCATCTTGCGCATCAGGTTGCGTCCCAGATTCGAGCCTCCCGAGGCCTCCGCCTTCGTATAGGTCTTGTTCTCCGGCAGCGGGGTTTTCTCGCCCCCAGATTCCGGCTCCATTAGCGGTTGAGTGGGTCGCGTGCGATCCGGACTGCCGTTGTTCACGATGTTCCAGATGTTTTCCGAGCGCGTCTGAAAGTAGTTGCCCAGCGAGAAGTCCGGGTCTCCGGCCAGAAGGGAGCTGTAAGTATTAAGATTACTTTGGTATCTTTCGCAGATGACTTAGAAATACTCACTTGGAAACGGAGCTCTCAATTTCCGAGGTCAGCGGCGGTGGGGCGGCAATCTTCTGCATTGCCTGGTTGCTCAACGTGGCCGTCGGCATGGCTGTGAACTCCTGGGCCCACGAAATCTCGCCCAGCACCAGCTTGGACTGCATCAGCTCGGCGGGGGCGAAGCTCTCGTCCTGGTTATCGGCCGCCAGCGAAGCAGAGCCAAAGGAGAATCCCCCGCCGCCGTTCAAACTGAGATCACTCATGTCCGCCGTGCGCGGCAAGCTGCGGGAGCAGCTGAACGAGTCCGAGAGGCTTGAGGAGTTGGCCCGCGACACCTGACAGCTGGCCTCCACTTGGCTGACATCCTGCAGCTTCTTCTCCAGCAGGCGGGCCTTCTCCACGAACGATGACTTGAGGATCTCGGCCACCGAAAGGGAGGGCTTCTCGCGGCGGCGCTGTTTTCCCGCCTGGCAGAGCGTGGATCTGCCCGTGATCTCGGCGGGCTCGAAGGAGATGTTGGGGGCGCCCTTGGGGGCGGCGGCGGCGGCGGGCGTGGCCAGGACAAAGGAGCTGCTGCTGTTCAGGTCGATGGTCTCGTCGGTCATTAATTCCGAGATGTTGGTGGTGGAGCGCTTCTGGAGGGCAGCGCTCTTCCGCGGCTTTTCCAGGGTCTCCAGGGCGCGCAGCCGCTCCTCGCGGAGTCGCTCGTGGACGTTGGAGGAATCCCGACCAGCGCCAGCGCCACTCCGCCTGCTGAAGCTCGACAAATCGCCAAAAACTGCGGGAACTCGGGATTACAAACTGATTTTTTGAGGGGGTTTTTAAGCGGACTCCGCCTGCTTACCCTTGAGATTGTCCATGTTCAGGATGCCCAGCGAGTTCTGGTCCGCGTAGCTGCCGTTTCCTGGGCTTCCGCTGATCTTGTCCATGGCGCTTCGCAGTTTTACAGTTAATAAAAACCGAAAACCGAGAAGCCGTAAACAAAAAAGGCGCGTCGTTGGGTTCGAAAATGGACGTCGATAGGCGATAACTCCAGGGCTGGACACGAATCACAGGGCGGCCTTCGATAACTTGTCTATTCAAATATCGAATGTTCGACTTTTGAACTCTTTTTCGTTACATTACACTTTCGTATCCGAACAGAACACACTGTAAATCATATAGAAACGTTTTTTTTAGTACAAATAAGACCACAAAATCGGAAATATAAGTGAAAATCAAAATAAAAGGAAGAACAAAACGTGCAACGCTGAAGCGCCTCCATCCCTGGTCGCATTTTCGCGAATTCTCCCCGGCTTCCCACTTCTCAATTCCGCTCGTGCGATTTCGGCGGCTCTTTTATCCCGGATTGTCTTCGATTTTGACCTGAACACGCACATAAACTCCTCGAAAATGGAAGCAGCCATCCTGGAACTAATCAATGGACTCCTGGCAACGGACACGGAGCGGATTCGCCAGGTGAGAAGAGCGGGGAAAAGGGGCTATAGAAAGGAGGTTATCCTGACCGCCCTTCGGTGACATATATTTCGGCCTCCATGTATCCACCTACCTTTTTACTCCCTTCCGCCTTGACCGCGTGGCTTGATTAGCATTTTCTCCAGCTTCTACATATATGTACATATGTACACGATTTCAACGCAGCGGTCATTAGTTTATTAGATCCGCATGTGCACATTCCTATACGCGCCAATGTTCCGATGGCACAGTGGGTCGCAAGCAGATAAAACGGGGTTTTAAAAAAATATGAAATATTTTGTTGCTGTTTAACAAACCGACAAATACAATAAAATCTATTTTTATAAGCCCTAAAAATGTATTTCTTTTTATTTATTAATGTACAACACAAATTATTTTTTTTTACTTATTTTAAAGTTAATCACATGGAGTTGTATGTTTTCCCATGTATATTATACACATTTTGAAACATGTTTTGATTCAAGAAAATAACTTAAGATTGTATCAGAAACAAAATTTAATAAGATAAGGTTTACATTTTTTTACGTCAATAAATTTTTTTAATTTTTTAAAATTATGCTCATGGAGTTGTATGTTTTGAAACATGCTTTGATTCGACCAAGTAACTTAAAATTATATCAGAAATAAGATTTAATAAGATCAGGTTAAAACATTTTTTTATGTAAATTACCACACTTTCAAATTTGCTTTGGCTAGAACTTTAAACTTCAAAGATTGTATAAAGAAAAGATATAACAAGATCAGGATTTAAAAAATGTATGGTTTTTATAATGGTTTATATTTTATAGGAATATTTATATTTTTGGTTTAATAAATTATAAATATATATATGCAAAATATAAAAATTTCTTGTAAAAATATATTGGGCGGACCACTGTTTCCTAGGCATTAAAAAAAGCACGTTGTCCACATGGACGCACACTTGGTGGCTTCCTAATTGGGAAACTATTTATGCTGAAAATATGTTGGCATGCCGAATTAAAAATGACTAACGAATTGCCCTTCTTCCCGCTCTTTCAGTCGACCGCCGAGTTGAATAAGGCATACGAGAATCCCGACACTCTGCTGTGCCTCACCCAGATCGTGACGTCGAACAATGAGATCCAGGTGCGCCAGTTCGCCGCCGTGCTCCTGCGGAAGCGACTGAACAAGCTGCGCCACTGGCAGATGGTTCCCGCCGAGCACCAGGCAGCGTAAGTGCCTCGGTCACCGTTTAATCACTAAATCACCAATAATAAATATGTCAAATCCTTAGCATTAAATCAACCATGCTGCAGGTCCTCATCACGGAGAAGGAGAAGAGCGTGAAGAGCGCGGTGGCCCAGCTGGTGGGCACCTTGGTGCGCCACGAGGCGGAAAAGGAGGACTCCTGGATGACCGAGCTGCTGAAGTTCGTCTACGAGCGCTGCAGCAGCGCCGATCCCAAGGAGAGCGAGCTGGGTGCCTCCATCTTCTCCACGCTCACGGACTCGGCTCCCGACCAGTTCGCCATGCACATGGAGACCATCTTCCAGCTGTTCGCCGGTGTCCTGGTGGCCGCCGAGGCATCCGGCGACCTGGCCACTCCGACCGTTTATGAAATGCTCGTGGGCACGTGCTACCTGCTGCCGTTCATCAGCGGACACAACGCCGCCGAGCAGACGGTCGTCAAGGCGATTCCGCTGATCCTCAAGGCTCTGCATGCCTTTGCCCAAAAGGGCGATGAGCACAATTTCATGGGTGCCTTTGATATCGTGGACAACATGGCCGAGTATGTGCCGCATTTGATAACCACCAATGTGAAGCCGCTGCTGGAGTTTAGTTTGGTCATAGCGGGAAACAAGCAGTTCGAGGATTCGATACGTGTCCAGGTTATCACCTTCATTGGTGCGCTGGTGCGCCTCAAGAAGAAGGTGATCATGAAGCAGAAACTGCTCGAACCCACGCTAGCCGTCATGTTCGAGGTGATTTGCCAGGACGACACCGAAGGTAACTACTCCTTAATCGGTTTATAGCCTTGCTAAATCTTTACTTTCTGTGGCCCCAGGTGATGATTACTTTTCGGGCGAGAGCACCAACAGCCCGGCGAACGCGGCCACGCAGACCCTTGACTTGATGGCCCTCCACATGTCGCCGGAGAAGTTCATTCCGCCGCTGTTGCAGCTGCTGGAGCCGGCGTTGCAGAACCCGAATCCCGTTTACCGGCGCTCCTCGTTCCTCTGCATGGGCGTCATCGCCGAGGGCTGCTCGGAGGCGATTACACACAAGTATCTGGAGGTCATGCTGAATATCGTCAAGGCCGGAATTGCCGATTCGACTTTGCTGGTGCGCGTCGCCGCCTTCTTCGCACTTGGCCAGTTTGCCGAATTTCTGCAGCCGGCCATCTCCAAGTTTGCTCCACAAATACTGCCCGTGCTGTTCGACTATCTGAACCAGCTGGTCGTTGAACTCAAGGTAGGTGGTTTCTGGTGGCCGAATTGGAATCTCCTTGTGTTCTACATTCTCGTTTATTTGTTCGTTTGTGCTGCTTCTAAAGGCTACTGGGCAAAACAGCAACGGCCCCGCCAAAGATACCATAATGTACTTAGACCAGTTACAGATCAAGCGCAAATCGGTGCTCACCAAGTATAGGGTGCTTTTTCACTGTCTTACTTTCACTTTGATATTTAATTGCACTTCATCTACCACTTCATAGGAAAAAAATTCGATATGAAATAGGGTCAATTCTACCTTATTTTATGATTTACGATTCAAACATATCAAATTGATATTTTATCATATCAAATAATATACCAAATGTAGTATTTGATGAACATAATCTTTATTAATATCAATATGATATGAATAACTTGATCTTTAAAAAATATCAAATTGACCTGCAGATATCAATCTGATATTTTGCCAATGTTTTGATAGATTTATTACAGTAAAAGCTCTTTTGTTCGTTTTTGCTTTATGAATATTATCTGTTTGCATATTTTATAATTACCTAAAAGATGTCCTGGTAGCCTATGGTTCATTTTACACTCACTTTGCACCAGAACACAACTCATTCCTTGCTAAGAACACACTAAATCGTAATCTTTGTAGATGGGTCAGCCGGAACCTAAGCACATGACTCGCATGTTCTACGCCTTGGAAACCTTCTGCGAGAATCTGGAGGACGAAATAGTGCCCCACATTCCCGTACTGATGGATCGGTGAGACTCATTTGATTTGTCAATCCTTTTCAATAAAATAATCGTATACCTTTAATCTACAGTCTCTTTGCGCTTCTGGAACCCCAGAACTCGATACAAATACGCGAGCTGGCCTTGTCGTCCATCGCATCGGCGGCCAGCGCAGCCAAGGCGCACATGATGGAGTACTTCCCCCGGATCATGGGCATACTGCAGACCTACCTGGTCAAGGATTGCCCCGAAGACATGCAATCTCTGCGCATCCAGGCCATCGACACCCTGGCCACGCTTAGTCGCGAGGTGGGCAAGGATAACTTCATTGGCCTGGCCGATGACACCATGAACTTCTGCCTGATGATGCTGCAAGATGGTCCCGACGATCCGGACTTCCGAAGGGCCATCTACGGCCTGGTCGCCGCCCTGTCCTCGGTGGTCAACGAGCGCATGGCCACGGTTTATCCCAAGATCATGGATCGCATACTGGAGTCTGTGATCTCCTCGGAGGACGTGCTGCCCCTGGTGTCTGATAATCCGGACAGGGATACGATCCTCGAGGCGGCCAGTGCGGAGATCGATCTGGAGAACACGGACGACGAGGACGACGATGAGGATTTGGATGGCTATCAGGTGGAGAACGACTATGTCATCGAGAAGGAGGAGGCTATTTTGGCCCTGCACGAATTTGCACTGAACACGGGCGCCGCCTTTGCGCCCTACTTGCAGTCGGCGTTCGAGAATGTCTACAAGGTGATCGATCATCCGCAGGAGGAGATCCGCAGGGCGTGCATCACTGCCATCTGTGGGTTCATCACGGCTCTCGACAAGATGAACGATGCTGCCGGCGTGGCGCGCGCCAGTGAGATTGCCATTCCAAAGCTGGCGCATATTCTCCGCTCCGATGACGATGTGGATGTGGGAATTCACCTGCTCGAGAAGCTAGCCGATCTGTTCAAGGATTCCAAGCAGCCGGTCATAACCAGCCAGGAACATGCCGAACTGATCTTCGGCTGCATCAGGGACGTGTTCGGCAACAAAATGGCCTGCCAGTTTAACGAGCAGAGCGGCGGTGGCGATGAAGAGGAGACCGAGGAGAGCGAGAACGAGGAGATGCTGATCGAGAATGCCTGCAATCTGCTGCCCACCTTTGGCAGCACACTTCAGCCGGAGGCGTTCTCTTTGTACTTTGGTCGCATCTACCATTTCTTCCTTCAAAAACTGGTAAAGAAATTAGGAAATATTCATCTTAAGATTTTTTAAAATTTAAATTCTTCCTTTGCAGGCCAAGGCCAAGAAGCATGACTTGTCTGAGCACCGGGCCTACATCTATGGCTCTCTGGCCGACTGCTTCCAGGCGCTGCGCGGCTGCACGGCCACCTATTTTGATGCCCTGTGCCCGCTGTTTGTGGCAGGGACCAAGGACTCTGATGCCAAGGCGCGACAGAACTGCTACTTTGCCCTGGGTGAAATGGTCTTCTTCGCAGAGGAGAAGTCATTTGAGTGAGTGGAAACAGAAGAGGATTTGAATAATATATATAACATATTTTTAATTAATTTTCCCAGGTCATATCCAGTGATCTTGCAGGCTCTCTCTGAAGCCATCAGCTCGGAGTCGCATCCCTCTGCCTTGGACAATATTTGCGGAGCAGTTGCGCGCCTGATAGTCACCAACCATGAGGCTGTGCCGCTGGGCCATGTGCTGCCCGTGTTCCTCAACCATTTGCCGCTCAAAGAGGACGTCGTGGAGAACGATATGATCCAGAAGGCGTTCCGCGTGCTCTACCTTCAGGCACGGCCCAATATTGAGGCATATCTGGAGCAGATGCTGATCATCACCATCGACTCGTCGTACAAGAAGCAGATGGGAGACGCCGAGACCGCCGAAAGCGCGGTGGCCTTCATCAAAGAGATTCGCACCCAGTATCCGGACATTTTCAACAAGGTGTCCAACTCGAATCCGGAGGTCTTCAACTACGTGCAAACCCTGTAAGCACATTTGTCGGCGCAAAAACCTGGCTAATCCCCGTACACCTTCCGCCCGCAGATTGTCCTGTTGGAATTGAAGCAGGTTTCCCAAAAAAAATAGAAAGTTTTGTATATGAAAATTCTCAGTTGTGCAGCTTTAGTGGCGTTAAAACATTCAGGATAGGTGATCTTTAAATTTGCAAGCTGTAGTTTTTCTACCCGCCGAAAAGCAACGGCAACATGTTTTCTAATTTATAGTATATGCATCCAGTGACACTTGAATATGAATAGTCTGAAATAAACGAAACAATAAAGGATATATATTCTGGTTTTCTTTGAGGCAAAAATACCAATCGAAGGGAATCAATAAACTAGAAGGATTGCCTACAAAGACCTAAAAAATTGTATTATATTTATGTTGATTTTCGATGTATTTTTTTAACAAAAAAATCATCCATTTGGAAAAGCCTTATAAACAAACGAATTATACCAATCAACTACTATTTGTAGGCTCTTTCTATATCCGCAATGATTTTTTACTTCTTGAATTTTATACATTTTACTCTATTTTAGTTTTTTTTAATCAAAGAATAATGATCAAAGAATAATGATTATTTACTGAATTTTACTCAATTTTAATAATTATTTTTTTGTGTTTTTTTTTTAATTGCTCAAAGAATAATTATTATTATTGTGAGCGAAAAAAATATCTATAGAAAAAAGGATTATTTACTCAATTTTAATAAATATTTCTTGAGTATTTTTTAATCGCTTAAAGAATAATTATTATTATTGTGAACGAAAGAAATATCGATCAAAAAATAATGGTTATATACGTTATTTTTTTCGCTCAAAATACACATTTATTATTCTTAAGTTAAAGAGTTTAAGTGGCTACCAATGAGCATTCCGCCGGATGACCACCTCCCTGACGATGTCCGCATGATTGGCGTGCAACTTGAGATCCGAGTCGATGTCCGTCCAGCGCACATTGGTGGCATCGTCGCCGGCCACTAGCTCCAGTTGGCCCACCTGGCTGCCATCCTCGTCGTGGAAGTTCAGCGCCGTGGTTTCCATCCAGGCGTTGTCCGTGTTCCGGAAGTCGTCCACATATCCCTGGTACACGTGCACGCCACCCGCTTGGAAGAACTGCTCCACCATGTTGGCCCTGTCCGTGAAGTTCAGCGCCTCCTCGGTGAACTCGCGCTTCAGGGTGGCGCTGACATTCTCGCCGGGATCGACCATGCCGCCGGGAATGGCCCACAGCTTGTTGTCCGATCGCTGGATGGCCACCATCTGCAGGATGTTCTTGCCGCTGGTTGGGTTAGCCACAATGGCTCCCTGGTCGTTCCGCTTCCAGCGTGTGACTATGGGATCGGCGGCATGATTGGGACCCCATCTGCCCAGAGAACCACGTCCGCTCAGTCCAGTGCGTCCAATCGGATTCAGTGGCAGGCCGTCCTTTAGTTTGTACGAGCCATGGAAGGACTCCCGGTTGACCTGGCCATCCAGCTGGTTCCACTGCGGCCGGAACGTCTCGCTGGGCAGCCCGGGATCGGCCCACACCTGGCCGCCAATGTGTGGCGCAGTGTAGGCCGGCGGGCAGTAATCCGGAAAGGGCTCCGACCAGAAGACCTGCTCATCGGACACCGGGAAGCGGAGGACGGAACTGCGCGGATACATGTTGTTGCGGCACATCAGGTGCCGAAAGACGCCCGGCTTCACCAGCGAGGACATCATCTGGGCGGAGATTGGGGTGCTTTCCAGGCTCAGTAGCAAACAAAGAAGCGGCAGCAATAATTCGGAGCTCTTCATTGGAATGAATAATAATATCGCACACAAACACAAGCAAATTGTTTTGTTTATGTGCACCAGCGTTCATAAAAATAGAGCCAAAAATATGTACCTTCTATCCAAAACAAAATGAACAAATTTAAATTTAATTTAAATTCTTAAATTGGCATTGACTTTTAATATTTAGGTCGCTTAAATTGATTAGTTTTGATAAATTTAAATATAAGTGCTGTAATAGATAATAAGTTTAAATATTTTTGCCTTAATTGAGTTAAGCTCAAAGCTTGTAGCGTTGGATGACTTATAAAATAAATTCAATTAAAGTGGCATTTTTCACTTTACTTTAATTTGATTTTTAAAACTTAAATCGGGAATTCAGGTTTCCGCTGCTAGTACCTTAACCTGGGGTGTCTCCTCCCCACCATGTGAAAACTGTTTTTAGCCAGAATTCCACCTGGTCACACTAGGATGCATATTTGAAATTAAATCTCACAGATTCAGTTTATTACGATTTCCCTTCTTTCGGGTAAATACAAAAATTTGAAGCCAACTAACTTAGAATGCCTGGTTTCCGCTGAATGCCCTGACCAATTAAGACGCCCACATCCTCGACAGCGCCTAGTCCTGGCGCAGTATCAGCTCCTTGACTTCAATGCCGTCCTTGGTGATGATGTTGATCAGCACCGAGTCACCGGTGTAGATGTCGCGCTCGGCGGCCGAAATGAAGGTGTCCGAGGCGACGCTTACGGCCCGCTCCTTGGTCAGCTTGGGCGCCTCGCCGGCGGCCAGGTTCATGTTCTTGTGCCCGATTTGGTTGTCCAGCACCGGCTGCAGCAGGGTGCCGGCAGTGCCGCCGGCGCGGTAGGTGGCCTTCTCGCAGTGACCGATCGGGTCGTACGAGTAGACGCAGCCGCGACCGTCGTTGTCGATCCCGGCCAGAATGTTGGACACGTAGTACGGGAAGAAGCGGCGATTGTACATGGCGATGGACAGCATCTGGGCCACGGCCTCCGTGGTCATGGTGCGCAGATGGGTGTGCTCGTAGCTCTGCATGCGCACCTTCATCGAACCGGTCAGCGAGAGGGTGTCCGCCCAGCAGCCCGTGGAGCCCAGCACCGTCTGCGGCGACAGCTTGAAGAGCTTGCTCTGCGTGCGCGAGTGGATGTTGTAGCCGCTGCTCAGCCGGGTGTCCGCCGCAATCACTGCAAAGTCCTCTCCAGCGATGGCCACAATGGAGCTGCAAACGGGGAGCCATTAGTTGGGAATCCAAATCCAGCAGGATCGTGCTTCCTGGGGAACCGCTAACTCACCCGCCGTTGGACTCGTAGGGCGAGAAGTCCGCGTGCTTCACGCCGGGCACCTGGTAGTCCGGGAACTGCTCAAAGCCTAGTCTGCTCATGTTTGTGCTTAAATTTACCAATTAACTCGCCAAGTAAAAAATCGAACGAAATGATTTGCAAGTTTACAGCGGCTTTAAATTAATGTGACCGTAAATCAATACGACCGTTGGTGCACAAAGCAAACATACCATTCAGCTCAGGCTTCCCCGAAAATTTATCGATAGATATCGGTTATGGGTATTTTTTAACAGCCAGGAAGTATTTTTAAAATGTTCTTTAAAATTTAAGAGGATAAAAATAAGTTTTATTTTTATGTATTATTAAATTAAAAATTATTAATAATTTTAAAATAAAAAAAAATATTCTCTATTTTTAATATATGATTACTTTAAAAAAGTTGGATAAAATGTTTTTTATTAAACAGTTTGGTTATTTTCAACAATCTTTGGATAAAACTAGGGCAGATGATTTGATTTAAGCTATAGCGGCCAATCCTTCGACGCGTTCTCTTTGCAGTTGTCCCCGGTTCTTTTCCACCAAGGCTTTGACATCATAAAACCATTTACCTACGAGAAAGTATTAAGGATATAAATAACAAAATGGAAAATCTTAAAAACAAAAAAGACAAAGGCTCACCAATGCTGGTGTTCTGCAGGCAATCCTTGAACGTCTGACAACCCTCCATGCTCGAAAGCACACCGAAAACCGAGAGATCCGCCAGGCTGGGCTGTTTACCGCCCATGAATTTCGTGTTCCGCTTCTTTAGCTCGGAGGTCCACTGGTCCAGAGCATCGTACATGTGCGATCGGACATCATCGCTGAGGGCGTGGCGGCGTTTCAGCATCTTGGCAATGGCCCACATCGCCGTGGCGCCACAGTAGACCATCAGGTCGCGCTCCCACTTGGGAAAGTGTACATCCCACTCGCCGGCCTGCGAAAACCACTCGAAAGTCTCCAGGGATTCGCCCATGGTCTGGTAGCAATTCGGCGATATCAGGTGCACCAGGTGGCTGTCGGCCCAGGTTCGCCACTTGCGATCAGTTCTGCAAAGGCAAAATAGAGGTTCATTATAATACAAATCTCACGACGAAAAGAAGGAACCTTTATCAAACTTACTCCTCTGTTTCCTTGGACACTCCCTTGGGCGTGTGCTCGCGGTACATCAAGAAGTATTTGTTCAAAATGTCGTTCTTCTTTCGACCATCATCGTCGAAGAACGAGGTGTGCGGATAGAACTGCGCCAGTTCGCCAATGTCCGTGCGCTTGTCCTGCAGATAGGTGGCTATCAGGGACACAATGGCACTGCTGTCCACCATCTGGACGTATTTCCCATCCTGCTGCCGGATCAGCACCATCGGCACCTTCTTCACCGACGACCAGCGGATGTCCTGCCGCAGAACGGCATCCACTTCGACGACCGCATAGGAGATGCCCATGTAGTCGAGGAAGGCGCGCACCTTGCAGCAGAAGGGGCATGTCTGGAACTGGAAGAGCACTATGTCCAGACCGGAGGTGTCCTTAGGATTCACATAGCGCTTGGTTATCCGCACGCCCGGAGGAAACCCATCCAGGCGCTGCGGCTTCGTCTCCTCGTGCTCCTTGTGCGAGCTGCCGTCCGTCCAGCGCTGGTACATTGTGTACACCGATCCGGTGGCCGCGCCCACTGTCGCCCCCAAAATGGCCAGCTTGAAGGTTCCATTCGGCTTCGGCTTTTTCTTGCCGCCGCCGTTTTCCACCGCCACTGCGAACTGGCGGCGAGCAAATGCAAAATCCGGATTTCCTCTACGGGTGAGGGGACGGACGCCGGCCTGGATGGTGGCAGTCGCTAGCCGGAAACATGACATAACTCGCAGCTTTGTTTAGAACTAATACTAAATATTATGCAAAAAATTAACGCGACTAGAACGTGTTAGGGATGGGCGGCATTGGGGGTCACATCTAGCCAGTCGATAATTTTGCTATCGATAGTCTGCAACAGGGCTGCAGACGAGCTCTCCCATCTCTACTGAATACAAAAAATAAACAAAAAAAAAATCGCTAGCCATTGAACTTTTGGAAGTAGTTGTTTTGTTTTATTCCCCACACCATTTGTTTATAAACATTGAGCAGAGATGTCGGCTTCCGCGGAGAGCCTGGCCGCCGCCGCCTCGTTGGACAAATACGGCGACGAGGACATCTTCAGCCTGCTAATCCGCTACGGACTCTATGTGGGCGCCCTCTTCCAGTTCATTTGCATCTCCGCCGCCGTGCTGATGGAGAACAACCCGGAGAGTGGTGGCAGTCCGGAGAGCGGCGAAGTGACGGAGCGGGAGGGCGAGCCGGTTAGGACGCGGCTGCACAAGATCCGGAAGCTGGAGAAGAAGAAGCGTCGATAGATCTAGTCATCTTAGCCCATAGATAGCCTAAGTACACTCGAATGCATTTATTAAGCGAAAAATAAAATATATTAATATTATAAAATTATTATAAAATATAATATAGGAATTAGCTTAGAAAACTCTAGGGACTTGAAATCTCTCAAGTATTTTCTTGGCATACTTTTAGACACTTTTTCTAAGGAGATTTCAAACCTCTAGAGATTTCCCGTTTGTAAATCATCTGCCCAGCCCTTGATCGACGTTTTTTGCATTTATTAAGCAAAAAATAAAATATAGTAATATTATGATTATTAAATATAATATAGGAATTACCTTGGAAAAACTCTGGGGACTTGAAATCTCGCCAGTACCTTCTGTATTACCTGGCATACTTTTAGACTGATTTTTAAGGAGATTTCAAACATCTAGAGATTTCCCTTTTGTAAATCATCTGCCCATCCCTTGATCGACGTTTTTTGGCTGAGGTTGCCGCCCTGGCTCTACTTTTTTTTTGCACATGACTCAGGGGGAAAAGGTCTACGCCCCCCCATAAGAAAATCCCCTTCCACCATCGAAAAGCCGCTTTTTAGTTTGGCTGTTATCTTTAATTTGGGAATAATATAAATTATAATAATCATATAGTTATTATGTTGCTTGCAATGTTGTTGTTTTCTTTGTTTTGTTTTGTTTTGTTTTACTTCCCTTTTAACTATGTACGTATGCATGTGTGTAGTGTGGGTGTGTGTTGAATGCTCTCTCTCTCTCTTTCTCGCTCTTTCTATATATATATATATATCGGTATATATATAATAGAGTCCATGCCAAAGGATGCACAGACAATTATCACTATGAATTATTATTATGCAGTATTTAGTTTTCGTTTTTTTTTTATGAATTTTGCGTGGAATTACATTTTTAAGTCAAAACTCATTGTGAATCTTCAGTTTTCTTGGGAAAGTGGGGGGGGCGAAAAGGAGGCGTGGCAGGGACATATCGTTTCAAAAACGCTCAAATTTCAAATACAACAACTAGTTAAATAGATATTGAAAATGAGTGTGGGGATTAGGATTAGGATCGACGGATAGGATGGTAAAACCTATATAGTAAGATAGTGGATTTCTAGGCCCAGAATGTCTAAATGTGGCTATGTTAAATTCGAAACTCTCTTTCGGTTATTTTTTCTTTTTCGGCTTTACGCTATTTACTCGTACTTTTTGTTGTTCTCTAGTTCGCTTTATCGTTATTTATCATTGTTGTTGTTGTCTAAATTATTGTTTAGTTACTCACAAGTGTAGAGTCATCATCGTCACAAAATATAGTATATATAACATATATTTGCTTTAACCCACACACAAAACATGTTCACATCCTGCTAAATCGCTCCTGCTCTCCTTCTGGCTACGGTCCTTTTGCCCCCGGGACGCTGGATCTGGATTTGGATCAAGAGTTGGAGTCGAAGCCTAAATCCCGACCCAACTAAGCCTCGGGCAGCGGCTTCAGCTCCTTTATCTGCTTGATCAGATAGGCCTTCTCGTCGTTGAACTGCTCGTCCTCGGAGCGATCCGTGTGGAAGTTGGTCAGAAAGTCGACCAGCTTGGTCTGGTTGCGCAGCAGGATGTCCAGGATGGGTTTCGGCTTGTTGGGATTCGCCACGAACACCTTGAAGACGTGAAACGCCTCGAACTGTATGTTCCGCGACTTCTCCTTGAGCATGTTCATCATCAGCTTGAGGTTCTCCGGCTCCGAAATGTAGCGCGTCATCACGGTGAAGTTGTGCCGGTCCAGCAGCAGTTCCCCAAGCAGCTTCAAACTCTGCCGCCGCGTCACATAGTTCTCCGAGTTGAGCAGACGCTGGTAGTGCTGCGAGAAGAACTTGTCGTAGTTGGCGTCCAGGAACTCGGCGCACAGCAGCTTGTGGCGCGTGAGCAGCTCCTTGAACGTGGAGAAGGCATCGCTGGCAATGTCGAAGGTGGACACCTCCACGTAGCGGAAGAACTTGAAGAACTCATCGGAGTGCAGCATGATCTTGGCCAGCGCCTCGTACCGGGCGCACTCCCTCAGCATTGTGCCCGAGTTCAGGGCGATCTCGGGATGCGCATCCTCGTAGCCGCCCATCAGGGTGAACAAAATCTCCGGCTTCGTGCAGATATACTCGACGGTGGGCGAACGGGTGCCGATTTGGCGGCGCAGCACATTGTTGAATATGAGCGCCACATGCTTCTTGCCCTCGAAGTCGATGCGATGGAGGTTCTGGATGAGCAGCAGCAGCAGGTTGCTGTTGTACAGCTCCTGCGACAGCTGGGCGACCACATAGTCCGCCGGCGGCTCGGCATCGCTGCTCCCGTAAAGCATGTTCTTGATCGAAACGAGGTTCTTGCTGACATCCTCCTGCGCCTTCTCCACCTTGCGGTCGCCCGCCTCCAGGGCGTTGATCGCCTCCTTCAGCGACTTGACCAGCTCCACTGGCGACTTCTGCGACTTCCCGAACAGTGGCATTCCGCTGGGCAGCTGTCTTTTCACTCGAAATGGGTTTGGATTTGAGTTGGATTGGGATTTGGATTTGGATTTAGATTTGGCTGTGGATGTGGTCTGTGGTCTGTGTTGGCCTGTCGATGGTGTCTCGCTTCTCGTGCCGATTATCCTGCTGGTCGGGCCCCTCGAGTGCTGGCCGAATGGTCGTTCTGTTAGCTGCCCAATTACCGACGGCGAAGACGCGGAAAACAATGCTTGGCAATATTATCACGGTGGAATATTCTATTATTATATATTATTTTTTTTTCTCGTCTTCTTCTAGGGATGAACAACTTCGATTGGCCGTCGTTTCGATATGCCGACGTTTCGATAGGACTATCGTGTAGTGTTGTAAAGGGCCAGCAAATCCTTTGCAGCACTGAAAATGGCGCTGAAATTGAATTCAACTAAATTTTAAAGTAAAAAATACATTTTTAAATATTTAAAAGATAAAATATCTTATTATTAAAATTTTTTTTTTTAATTTAAATATGTTAATATGGCTAACCATGGACCCCCTTTTAAAATTTTTTCAGGAATCTATGAATTTAATTGCTTTTAATTTTTTTAGTATTTCACATCTCGAAAATGATTTTAAATAAAATTGTTTAATTCCTAATATTTTGTTTCCATGTTCAAAATATGTTTCTCAATTTTGAAAAACTACCTTTTGAATTCGAAACCCCATCATTGAAAGCCCGCTAAAACAACTGGTTTTGAATTCTTTAAATATCGTTTTTATTTCTCATTGAAGTACTTTGTTTTTGATCCGTTTTCGTTTTAGATATTATTCTGCAGCGCATATCAGGCGCTTGGTGTATCATAGAAGTTACAGAAATATATTTGTGTATATATTGGGCAACGTGTCGCACTCGTCCTGCCAGCTGTGTTGGCCCATTTTATTCGATTCGGGGTCAAAGAAGAGGACTAGTGGGGTTAAGGAAAGGCAATGTATTGTATGCACATCAATATTTATAATTATATCTGTAGGTTTGACCGCCCTGCATATTTTTACAGGCTGCCCCTCGCCTTACTCTTTCGATTCGTTTACTTTGAAATAAATTTATTTGGTTTTCGTTTTTGTTTTCTTTTTTTCTTTTTATATTATTTTTGTTTACGTATAAAAGTTGTTTAAAATCCTTGAAAATATCAGATAATAATTACAATTGGTTGTGTAATACGTCTTAAAAGCATTTCGATGCGCTTCGTACTCGAACGAACATAGATTAAACATAAATCAATTTAGTCTTTGCCACTAAACATATCAATTTGAGTAGTAGTAGTTGTAGTTATCAGTTAATAATAATATCTTTGGGCTTTGCTACTGTGTACGTAATGGATACGCCGAGTACATATAGATCATGATCATAGACATATATGCATGCTGCGGGCCTTAAAACACACGATCGAAAGAAGTATCCGAAGAAGTATCAAGTTCCTATTCCTTTTCCGTTTTTCTCAAAAGGGGAGTGTTGTTTTTCTGGTCGTTAAATGTATAATATAATATCTTTATCTGTTTATCTTGTAGAAGTATGTAAATGTATAGGTATAATAAAACATTTTACGACTAGTATATGTAAATATATGTATGTATATGTGTATATGCATTGCGTTTTCATTTGTAATTACTAAGTTTATTGAGATATTCTATGAATATATTTCCTTTCATTCTTAAGCCATGTCTTGTGTCTTTCTATATAAAACAAACGAAGCGCGATTACGTTTGGGGGTTTTTAGGGTTTTTGGGTTTTTGGGGGGGCGGTTGGAAAGGGGCTGAGTGGGTGGGAGGAGGGGTTCCCTTACTTTACAATTAAAAACAAGGCTCCTCCCGCGAGACCTTACCCAAATTTGCTTTGCAACTCATTGTTTACTGATTTCTTGCCTTTAGTTATTTAGTTTTTTTTTTTGTTTTTCTGGAAGCGTTCGTCGGGGCTCTGCACAGATCTGACTAGATATATATGGGTATATATAATAGAAGCTACTACTACACGCTACCAAGTACGATACATAGGTGTCCTCCTCCGATTCTAGTTGTCCTTCCTTCCTTCTTCTTCTTCGCTGGGCTTGAAGTTTCATTTCCTGTTTCCGTTTCCTGTTTCCGCTTCCACGGGGGATGGTTTGGTTGGATGATGGGGTCACTTGCGCTTGATGAAGTTGCCCTCGGCGTCCAGCCAGATGCCCGGATGTTGATCGGGCGCATCCATCCCCCGTCTTATCATTTACCTGTTGAGCGCATTCGAGATCTGGCGCAGCGACTGACCCACCTCCGAAACCAGGCGTTCGTTGTCCTGGACGTTCTTGCTGCCGGCGGTGCGCAGGTGCCGCGACTGCGCCTCCACCCGCGTGACCAGCTCCCTGAACTGGAACTTCGAGTGCGGCGGCATGGCTCCATTATCCGCAAAGATCACACACGAATTGTGCAGAATGTTGAGCTTGTCGCTCAGCTGCAGCCACTGAGATCCAGCGATGGCGTTGACAGGGTGCTTGAGTGATCCCTCCAGCAGTCCCACCAACTCGAGGATGCTCTCCCGCGAAATCTGCGTGGAGCTAGCGGATCCTGAAGTGGCAGGATCAGCTAATTTCGCTATGGGCGTCGCATAGATGGTCAGCTTGGTGGGCTTGTGCGGCACCGCTGGCTTCTGCTGGATCTGCGGCTTCTGCTCGTACAGCGACTGGGTCATGTCCGCCTGGCCCACCGATCCTTGACCCTCCGGCTGCTGCTGCTGCTCCTCGTCATCTGTGAAGAGTTGCGTTGAATGAGAGGTTTTTATGGCCTGCTGCCTGCTGACAGTGCAATCTCTACTAGAGGTGCTAGTGGATGTGGTGGTGGAGGAGTTGGAGGTGGTGGTGCAGTTCGGGGGCGGTGGTGGTGGGGCTGCCGGTGGTGGCTTATTGCCCGGCTTGGCTGCCGATTTCCCCAACCCATACTTGGGCGACAGTTGGCCGCCATTCACCACCGTCGTCGGCTGCTGTTGCTGCTGGAGAATCGAGCTACTTGCATAGTCCGGCGCCGGCGGCTGCTGCTCCCACAGTTTCTTTAAGCTATTAATACTACCTGTGCTCCGTCGCTTGCCGAGATCGCCGCCCTCGCCCGCTGCTCCCGTCTCGTCTCCACATTTCTCCACATTCGAGTTGGTCACATCGATTTTGATTTCAGTCTTTTGCATGGCCTTCCGATTAAGGGTTCCCGTAGTATTGCAATTGGCATTGGTTGATGGTGATGCTGCCGGAGCTGCCGGCTCCTTTTCCTTGTCCACCCGACGCAGATGGGCCTTGAAGTCAATGATGGTATTGGCCGGCTCTGCCTTGGCCATCGGCGGGCTCATCTTCTTGGGCTCGACTTTCTTCAGCTGAGCCTTGAATCCCGAACCATTGCCGTTGGTCAGCTTCTGCTTCGGCAGATTCATGCTCTCGGCCAGCTCAGTGACGAGCAGGGATACGGGATCCACAGCCGCCATCCCCGAGCCATTTGCTAGGTTTGCTAGGGGAGCCGGAGGAGCACCCTTGATCTCGGTGATCAGCTTCTCCTTGAGATCGGCCTCTCCCGGTGGACTGCCCAGCGAGCTGCAGGAGTCGGTGGAGGGCTCACGCTTCCGCAGGGACACTCCAAACCTTGAGCTCGCCTCCTCCACGCTGGGCGCAATGTTGCTCACATCGTTGTGGCTGCTGTCGTTGTTGTTCGTTCCGTTGCCATTGCTCACATTGCCATTGTTCGGCAGCTGGGCATGCAGATGCTGCTGGATGGCCTGCACAGCGCTCTCGGGCGCCGGCGGCGGGGGTGGTGGTGCTCCCTCGAACTCCTCCGGTGGCGGTGGCAAATCCAGCGGCGGCGGCGGAAACTCTAGATTGGCCAGAGCAGGCTGAACTCCCACTGCCGACACTCCGGAGCCACTGCGCTTGGGTGAGCTACTCGAATTGCCCGCTCGGAAGGAGGAGAACGTCATCATGGTGCCCTCGGTGGTGGTGCGATGACGCTGCAGCTTATTCAAACTGGCAGCCGCATTGTTCTGCATGGTCACTCCACCGGATGAGTTGCTCCGGATCATCTGCTGCGGCGGAAGGGGGCTGGCCTTCGGATTTTGCATCCTAGTAGCCGGCGGAGTGCCGTGTCCATTGGCTGCTGGCGGAGCAGGAGGAGTGGCGGGTGGAGCAGCATCACTACTATCCTCCAGACTATCCAAATAGGCACCGATTCGTGCCACCTTGGGCAGAGTGCCGTAGCGATTCACCACCCGCTTGACATTCATCACCTCCAGGGCGCCCACGGTGATTGGATGAGCTGCGGTGGTCACCACTCCGTTGTTGCCATGATGCGGTTGAGCTGGTGGAGGAGCCGGTGCCACAGCCTGTGGATGCTGCTGGGAACGCTTGCTTTGGCGGGTCTCCAGACCGCGATTGCCCATCACGGGCGTCCCAGTTGGCCGCTTGAACGAGCTGTGCTGCTGCGAGGAACGAGGACCAATGCCTCCTCCGCCGTGGAGAGACTGCTGCATCTTGTTGGTGGCAGGAGCGGCAATCACCTGGCTGAGACTCTGCTCCAAACTATCGCCCGTGGCATCTGTGTCCGGGTCGGCTGTGGGATCCGTTTCCGAGTCGTAGCGCTGCGTCAAACTGTTGATGTCGCGGGCCAAACCTGTAGGAAGTAAGGAAATTTATTTAATTTGAGCTTCGTTTGGCTTGTGGTTAATAGAATGCTTCGTGCCGGGTGCTGGATGCTGGGTGGTATTAATGGTCAGTGATGGGGAATACCTTATGTTCTCGAAATATAATAAAAATGTTATTAAATTCTAACATTTATTGGAATTATATTTTGCAAGTTAATTGAAAGTAAGGAACATATAAAGGCACTTCCCATCACTCGTAATTCAATATGGGTTAATCCTGACCAGAGTCTTGTGGTGTGTATGTGTGTGCGTTGATGTTTGTCGAGCGGGTAAAACTAAAAACACCAAAAAATTAACTTAGGGAAGACAAATGATGTATGAAAATGAATACCTGGTATAACCTTGAAAGGATTTTTACCCTAGACAACAAATCCTATTTCAGTTACTGAACGAAAAGAGCGAATAACTCTTTCTATTCAATTCGAAATAAATAATAAAATAAATATTTGGTAAAAGCAACTAAATAGATAAAAACGAAAAAGTCACTTTCAAGGATATAAACCAAATGGATAAAACAAAATAAATTAAATATGTATGACTAAAAACATAGATAAAAACTTAATGTTAACAGGCACCAAAATAAATGTGAATAGAAATAACGACCAAATAGTAAATAAAATAACAAACGTATAGAAAGATGGTTAGAGAAATGTTCATGTGGAAAATGTTAATGATAAGAAATCACACAGACATTAGGAAATCATCAAAACAATATCAGCTTTACAACTAAATTTAGAAAATAACCAAAATGGTATCCAAATTTAAGGATTCCACCAACAAATACAGAAACTTAAGCTAATACAAACGAACTAATAGTAAGAAAAGAACATAAATACGAAACGAATAACACAGAAACCGAAAGAACATAAACAATTTTTGAATTGGAGCTTTCCGTTGACAAAAAATACCTCGAAATAGGATGTCGTAAAGAAAACTACTGCAGGAGGACGATTTCTTAATGGAATACTGTTGTTGTTTCTGTTGTTGATGTGACTGTTGTTGTTGTTGTTGTTGTTGTACTTGCTGTACTGGCAGTGGTACGAACTGTTGCTGTACGGACTGTTGTTGTTGTTGTTGTGTACGTATTTGGTGTGTGTAGTGGGTTGGAATTTGGGTCTTGAAATTTCTAGAGAGGGTCTGGCTGAAATAGTTGGCAGGTTTCAATTTGTGTATACCATTCGTGCTGAGGTCGTCGATGAAAATGCCTCGGGCGGTGGCAGGATCCTCCTCGCGATAAGTGGAGTCGCGACTGCTCGAGAGCAGGCTAAATTAAAGAAATAAGAAAAAATCAATGGTTAAATAATCTGTGGGAAATATTTGTAGGATCAGTTTACAATTTGGGTCAATATTGAATTTGTAGAAAGTAATATATAATGTAATGATACTATATCCCTATAGAATAGGTAAAAAAAAAAATTAGGAGCGGAAAGCCTTAGTTTCTAGTGCTCTTAAATCGTTTTCAGTTAGCTCATAGCTTTACACTGTAAGTTAGCTTTATATAAATAACTAAATGAAGAGTATAGCTAACAACATTGCTCTGAACAACTTGTTCAATCTATCCATCTATTAAGATTATTCCTAAGATATACAAAATAGGAACCCACTGGGTTAAATATTTAATAAAACAATTTATTAAACTTTGTTTACGAGTTATCAAACTATTTAAAATGTAGGATAATTTAGTTTTGGGTATTTAATAGTAAGTAATCTAAATATGTCTTTTATTAATTATTTAAGTTTAAATATCTATCTATCTATTAAGATTTTGATTCCTAAGATAGAAAAAAAAGAAATATTTGATAAAACAATTTATTAAACTTCGTTCAGTTTTTAAAATATTTAAAATAAAGGATAACTTAGTTTGAGCTATTAAATAGTAATTAATTTAAATAAGTCTTCAACAAAATAATTATTCAAGTTTAAATTCAACTTATCCCATGGCATATGTAGTTGTAATTCTTCAGGGAAGACTTTTTCTTTAATATTCAATCTGCACAAGTCCCGCTCACCTGGTTCGCTTCGGTGGTGCGGGCGCCTGCTTGCCCTGCTTGTTGGTGGTGCGACGCATCTGGACGTTGCCCTTGCCCTGGCTGGAGAAGGTGCTCAGCTTGGTGGAGGTGGAGCCGGTTTCTGCAAGCGAATGGCAATGGTTAGGGAAGATCCAACTTGGACGTGATATTAGCCTCACCTGACATGGGCGTGCTGGCCTGCTGCTGGTGCGGATCGTTGTGGTGGGCATTCGGCGTGAGGGTCTGGCCGCCGGGCAGACCCTTCTTCACCATCTGCGGTGTGAGGCTGAGCGAGGCGGTGGCCGAGGATGAGGAAGCGCAACCGCTGGCCGCCGTCGTTGTGGTTGTGCTGGCTCCTCCGCCGGTGGCCACGCCCGATGTGCTCGGAGCGGAGCTGCTCGCGCTGGTGGCGGTGGCGTTGGCGTTCAGCTGCTTCTCGACCGCTTCGGTGATGGACGATTCCTGCGGAGGAGCGGAGAAGGAGAGATGGGCACCATGTGGCTCATTATTGCTTTCACTAATTGCTGCACCCTCGATCTCGAGCGATCAGAGCACGTCGACGAGGTGGTGGCGGTGGCGATGCCTGTGGCTATGGCTATGACTATGACTACTCCTATTCCTATTGCTATGGCTATGACTGTGGACGCTGCCGCTGTTCTGCTGGAGCTGCTCGTCGTCGTCGTCGCCGTCGTAGTCACTCGCCTCCTCGCCAGCATCGTCGTGATCCTCATGATCTTCGTCATCGTCATATTCATCGTCATCCCACACCTCGACGTCACCCACCTGAAACATGTGCTCCAGCGCATGGTGTATGCTCTTGAACGTGGGCCTGTCGGCGGCATCCCACTGCCAGCACTGGCGCATCAGGTCGTACACCTCCGGCGGACAGCCGGGGGGCCGCTCCATGCGATAGCCCTTCTCCAGCTTGTGGTACACGTCGGTCAGGTCGATGCCCGGATACGGTGACATCCCGTACGTGGCTATCTCCCACAGCAGCACCCCGAAGGCCCACACGTCCGACTTGGTGCTGAACTTGTTGTACGCCAGTCCCTCCGGTGCCGTCCACTTGATCGGGAACTTGGCCCCCGCATGCGCCGTATACGTATCGTCGCGCATCAGACGCGCCAGCCCAAAGTCCGCCACCTTGACCAGCTTGTTGTCGCCCACCAGGCAGTTGCGGGCGGCCAGATCGCGGTGGATGTAGTTGCGCGACTCCAGGTAGCTCATTCCCGAGGCTATCTGCGTGGCCATGTAGAGCAGCGCCACGGCATCGAGCGTCTCGCGGCCGGCGGAGCGCAGAAAGTCCAGCAGATTGCCGTGCGACATGAACTCGGTGATGATGTAGAAGGGCGGTTCACGGGTGCAAACACCTGGTAAAATAAATTTATTATTTATTTATTATTTTTATTTTTTTTATCTTATTTTATTTTATTTTATTTATTTATTTTTTTTATTTTATTTATTTTATTTTATTTTGATTTATTTATTTTTTTATTTATTTTATTTATCTTATTTATTTTATTTATTTTATTTATTTTATTTATTTTATTTATTTTATTTATTTTATTTATTTTATTTATTTTATTTATTTTATTTATTTTATTTATTTTATTTATTTTATTTATTTTATTTATTTTATTTAATTTATTTATTTTATTTATTTTATTTATTTTATTTATTTTATTTATTTTATTTATTTTATTTATTTTATTTATTTTATTTATTTTAACATCCCAAATACCCACCTATGAGCTGCACCAGATTGGGGTGCTTCATCTCCTTCATGATGGCCGCCTCTTCGAGGAAGTCCTTCAGTGCCATCGTGTCCTCCTTGAGCGTTTTAACGGCCACCGTGTTGCCGTAGCGCTTCCAAACGGCCTCGTATACCTCGCCGTACTGCCCGCCGCCCAGCTTGTGCTTCATCATGATGTCCGTCCGGCAGATCTCCCACTCATCCGGCTCGGGACTCAGCGGGAAGACGGTGGGCTTGTTCTGCTTGGGCGCCGGATACAGGAGCGGTGTGATCAGGCCGTGGCCCTCGTGGGGCACGCTGTGATGATGCACCAGCTCGGCCAGCGTGTTGAACTTGGCCTCCTGGGTGACGAAGACCTTGCCGTCGGGATCCTCCGAGATGCGGTAGTGGTAGACGCGACCTTCGTATCTGTTTAGGAGAAGTTAAAGAAATTATTAATGGAAAATCAAGAGTAGTAACCCATCTACTCACCTCAGACTGATGCTCCTCTGACCCGGTGAGCTCTCGCTTTCGCGGACCAGGAAGCTTCCGTTGATCCCCGAACTCAGCAGATACTCGGCGGCATTGCGCGAGATGGGTCCATGGTACCAGGAGTGCTTTTCCAGCGAATTCAGCGGAGTCACATAGTTGGAGGGCACCCAGCCCACGTTGCCGGAGTCCGAGTGCGCCTCGCACCACTCCCCCGATTTGTTGTAGCTCAGGATGCGAACCTGCTCGCCCTTCTTCAGGCTCAATTGATTCTCGCCGCCGGCCTGGAAATCGTACAGGGCCACAAACAGCTGCGGATCATCCTCCTCGGGTCCGGGGGCCAATAGGTTCTCCTTGGAGGTCCAACGGTGGGCGGATTCAAATACCGAAGTGGTCGAGCTGTGGCCACCGCCCATCGAGGAGCCCTGCAGTCCGCCCAGTCCACCCGAATCCTGCTGATGCTGCAGGTGCTCCGCCGCATCCGCCAGAAGAGAGGCCGCCGTGCTTCCGGCCGGAATGTGAGGTAATGGACGCGACTGCAGCAGGGCCTCTGCAAAAGGAAAATTAAAAAAACAGTTTAAAATATAATATAATACTATTTATTATGGGGCTTTTCTTAGGATCATCGTTAACCCATTAAAATTGGTTCCATTCTATCCAACATCTTAGGGTTAATATATTATTTATTATTATTACGGTTAGTTAAAAAAGGCAAATCAGTTGATTTTATATATTTAAACCGCATAACTTTTTACGAACTTTGATAATTAATATTAAAATCCTCCTTACAAATCACTTTTTTCGGTGTAGTAAGAGAAGACAATGCAGGTAAACCCGTTTCTCTTCCTAGGAATGCGGGCAATTTGTGGAGCAAGTGCTGGCCAGCGGGGAAATGGGCCTGCAACCCACCGCTCCATTGAGGGAATGGAATAAATTATGCATTAAGCGGAATAAAATTACACAAATCGCTGTCTGCCAGCGGTGGACCAGGAATCCCTCAACGAGGCATTTTATTGTGGGAAGTTCTAACTGATTGTCAGTCGGTTGCATTGTCCCCTCACCTCATACCGTTCTTTCTTTTCGCCTCCCACACTCTCTTTTTTCAACTGGGTATCCATAGCTGTGATGCTCCCTGTATCTATAACTGCATCTATGGAATGCAATCCAGGAAATAGTTTTTTGGAAGACCTTTACAACCCTTAAAAAAAGTTCAGAAACAGAGAGAAACTACATAACAGCTTAAAAATCTGGAATTTATTCTTCTTATTCTTAGTATATCAACGAAAAAGGTATCTACTAGTCTGCACACTGATTGCAATTCCACTTTCTTGTACCAAGTTCTTCTAAAGAATCTTGCAGTCCACTTTATGCTGAAGTTTCGCTTGATAGATTGTGCAAACTTGTCAGATCCAAACCTGTCCAAATCAAGCTTCTATAATAGGGTACTCTTTGAAATTAAACCAGACTTTCGCTATAATGTCCCATTGAAATAATTGTACAAATTTACATTTTTCCCATTTTTTTTTGTTTGACCAAAGCAAACACTTCCGCTGCATAAATATTCTCCACTTTCGTGGACACAATTGTGCATAAATTTGGGTGAAGTGGAAGTCGTTGGGAAACCGGGAATCTTTGGTTTGCGGTCGGTGTGCTAAGCAGTCATAAACCGATCCAAATCATATTGTAACGCATTTGAGAAGGGTTCCCCATCGCACACAGTTAATTTATGCGCGCGAGACAGGAAATATTAATGGCGAATAATAGGTGTGGAGTGGGTTTTTGGGGAATAAAAGGGAATATAGGGACAGATTAGAGCGGAAATGTACAGTTCTCCAATGGTGGTCGGTCTGTCTGTCTGCCTGTCTGTTTAAATCCCCCCACCGAATATTAGCCGATGACAATATACACCCACTTTATATGCAATCTCGTACATCCAATTTTAGAGTGTTGATTCTGGAAGGGAGTGACTCACGTGTTTCTGGGTGTGAGGATCGAGAATACTTTGGCATTGACTCAGTTCTTTTTAGGGTTAATCAAGGAAAAGTCTCTAAACTGAGTCAGCTTATGCTTAGTGTTTAATTATCATAATTATCACTAAATTGCTAGACTTAATGATCCGAAGCAATCCAGTTTTCAATACAAAATCTACTATTCTTCTATTTGAACGTTTGAACAAGAAACTATCTTTTCTCTTCAATTAATTCAGAACATTTAAAAAAAAAAAACTTTTATTACTAATCCTTAGAATAATTATATTTCACTAAGTATTACGAATATTACAAAATTCAGATTTAAGGAACATTGTTTATTTATCAAGGCACCGTTCATCATCACTGTTTTTAAGAACCCGAAATGATATTGCAATATATAACGAAAATAACCGAATCATTCTATGGGAACCGCTCTTTAATTAATACGAATGACACTACTTATGTGGAGTTGTACTTCGGTATTTTTGGTATCTTGTTGGATTGTAGATGTTTTGTGGTTGTTACCTAAGTTCATGTGATATTTGCCTGGATGGCCGCGAAAAGAGCTGTGCTTGGTACCTGCAGAAACGAAAGAAACAGAGAGATTTTGTGTGAGAGACAGTTTGTCAGCCGACTTGAGAATTATCTATGGATAGAGCAGGCAGTTTTTGATGTTATCATCTATAAACGATGGGCGGCAAATGCGATGAACTACAATGGAATTCCGATGAGGCTCCAAAACAAAGTTGTTACAAAACGAAATAAAAAGAAAACTAAATTAAATACAATTATCTTAGTCATAGCTCTAGGTAAGTAATATAAGAAGTACATGTACAGCGATCTATATATACAGTTAGCGGATGGATGACATCAAAAGCGGAGAGGCATTAGAGAATTAGAGGGTCTTGCAACCGCAGAAAGGCCAATTAGCGACCCGGCCAGAACAAGAAGAAGAGTAATAACAACAGCAGCCAGATGATGGCTTCAGTAAGTGCTGTAATTTCTCAGCCAAGTGAAAAGTATCTCAGTATTTCTGGAAAACCCAACATGCGAGTGTCTGTACACTGGAAATAATCAAAGCCATAACTAAGAATTTAAAATTTATTAAGATTCAAAAATAGTTTGTCTTTAAAATAATTAGATATCGTAGAATATTTACAGTTGTTATATAATATATATTATATTAAGTTCATATTAATTTTTTTCGAGTGTGACACGCCCCCTAGACATTTGACAAAAAAAATGGGGAGTGAGGTGGAAAGAACAGAGAAATATATGCCCCATTCAGAGAACTTAAGCTGCTGCTCAAGCGGAATGGGTCCAATGAACTTTAAAGTCACAAAAAATCTACACATGTCGGAAGAGAAGGAGGTGGGAATATGGATAAGGAAAGAGACGGCTATAGGGACATGTCTCAAGCCATGCACATCCGCCATCTAGCGACTGCTTATGCAGGTTATTAGCGTGAATTTGGAGCATCTCGAGCTGAGGGCTGATTACGAGTGAAATGATGCGCGGTACCGCTTCCCCGCCCCCTTGGGCCACCCCCAAGCCACCCACTTTTCCCCCACAACTACTCAAAGACTTAACGGTAAGTGTGTTGAGTAAGCACAGATTGAAATCAGCCGCATCAGCAGCTGAAGTCCCCTCGAAAACCGACGTAACGATACAAAATAGATACAGTGCTTCCTGGGGAACGAGAACTATTTATATTTATTTACTTAAATTTCAAAAATATTAATTTACTTGTGAAAACAAGTTTCAGAACTATGAAGAAAGGCAGAACCGAGTTAAATAGATATTTTTAGCAATAACTATTTTGTTTAAAATACAAAATTCCTTATAAAATGCATATAACCACAAAGATTTGACCAACTATTTGGCATCCACTGTTGCAACAAAGAACTATATGTAGCCTAAAGTATTGAATAGCTTTTCATCACAGCCTTGGCTCTAACAGTTCCTCATTGCGAATCGTCTCTTGAGATTTCCTCGGCATCCGTCCTTTGTTTGATTTTGATGGTCTGTCCTCGTCCGGCGAGCATTAAACTTGATGTGTCTGCCATTTATTATCTGTAGCTATAATGCTTCTGTTCGGGTTTCTTCTCCCCACAAAATCGAGCTTCAATGTGTGATTTATTGCAATGCATTTTCAACTGCTCATTCATTATTTCATTCGCTCAGTCTGTCAACCATTTACACATCCATTCATGCACTTATTCTGTGGGTTTGATTTTTTGTGGCACTTTCTGGTTTTTTAGCTCATTGCATTTAAGCACGTTTCGCTTTAGTTCTATGTTGTTTTTTTACTCTATTTTAGCTTTGTTTTTCCTACGTATTTTTGTGTTTTCAGCTCAAGGGCTTTTGAGTCTTAACCTGGCAGGGATTTTCAGTTGGCCTCGGTCTCGTCTCCCCTTTTTATCACCCTTTTACTCTACTTGTCGGATTTCATTCACATTTTGCCTTTGGCCTCTTGGCCAGACATCCAGACGTGTGTATATATATTTGTAGTGAGTACATATATACGGGGGCAGGGGGCGTGGCCAGTCAACAGTAATAAACTTTTACGGTGTAAATTTAATTAGTCATTTCTCTGGCTTCCGTTGCAAAGTCGTAGAATGGGGTAAAATATAGGAGGAAATTCTCGGGGGTTTGATTTCAACTTTTTCTGCCTTTCAATTTGATTAACTTGAAGGGCAAAACTTGAATACACACTCAGGGAATCAACCTAAAAGTAAACTGAATTCAGCTGTATTAACTAACTAAAAAATAAAATATTCACATTTCTATAAATTTTTCCATCTCTGCACATAAAATTCAAAGAAAGAATGCATTTTCTCAACTTTGTCTGGCCTAATGATAACTTTTGAAGCGGAACTTTTGAACGGAACTTGAGATCATTAAGCTGGCAGACCCGATTAGAGCAGCAAATACGCCCCGAAGGGAAATAGAAACCGAAGCTAGTTAGGGAAACATGAAGAAATTAACCTACAAAGCCAAAGAGCCAAAGTTTTCCCTGCCCAACTTTTGAGAGCAGCATATGGTTATCTGGGAATTTAAGTTTCCTGGGTAATTTCCCCATTTTCACATGAGAAATAAGCAACTGGTAAGTGACAGGGCAAACAAGAAGTTGTAGGGAATGCAGGAAAAAATGTGAAAGAATTTAATTAGTTTTCTGTTTTTTTTATTTTTTGCACCCCAAGGGTTGAGTTCAAGTTCCTCCCCTTGCATCCAAGTGCGAAAAAATGTTGTGCGAAAAAACTACAAGCAGCGCAAAAGAGATGGCAAAAGTGAAATAGAAGATGCGAGAACAAAAGGAAAGTTATGTAAAGGCAAAGAGCCGGAGGGTCCAAGGATCTAAGGGGTGTCAGGGGGTGCAGAGTTGGCCAGGACTTGGCCCTGCACTTGGCGAAGGGAATAAAGAAAAAATGTTAAATATAAAATCCACCCTTGGCTGACAAAGGCAACTCTCCGCGCACGAACCCCTCTCGACTTTTCCCCTTAGCCACCGGCGAATTTACCACTTTTCTAAGGATTCCTTATGCTGCTGAGTCCACGGGGAAAAGGACCAAAGTCGAGGGTACATGCAACCTAATGTGACATGTGACGCAGCAGTCGATCTACTTTACACTCAAAAATAAAATAAAATAAAATAATAATAAATTGAAACTGCAATTAAAACTGATTACTTAAAAAAAAAGTCGTATTCTCAATCGATTATTTCTAGAGATCTTAAAAGGAACTTAAAATTGAGTATGCAGGCTACAAGTCTATCTTATCAAGTGAAGATTATTAGTGATTATTGCATTTAATTGAAAACAAATTATTGTTTGTAATTACACTTTGTTATAAGAACCTAATTAAGAAATTCCCAATTTTTCAGAGTGCACCCTCTCGATTCCCTGAGGCCTGCATTTGCCAAGAACTTGATGGAAATCAAGTGAGTGCAATAAATACATATTAAAGTGAGACAGACGGAGCGAAAAAAGGTGGGACAAAAATCAATAATGAAAACCTTTTCCGCCACAGCCGAGCGATGAGTGTCATCCATAAAATCGCATCACCGCCAGCAAATTAATTGAATGCCAGCATCGAGGCCACAAGAGGACCGAAAACTGCAGGCCCAGGGAAATGTGGTGGAGATAAAAGGGATAAGGTGAAGGACAAACGCTGCGACAAACCACATGAATGGGCGGATCCTGAACTTGAAACGATACGAAGCTTCAATTACCCTTTAAAAAATAAGTTTAAGAAACTTTATAGCAATTTAAAATAGTTTGTAAATTTTTTTTAATATTCCTTTTTTAAACAATTTAGTAAGAACCTATAGTTCTATCTTGTTTGATAAAAATGAAGACCCAAAAACGTATAAGGAATATTTCTAGGGTATCCCCAGTGGGATTATGAAAAGGTAGCAACTTTGTGGAGAAGGTCCTATCGATCCAAGCCCCCTTGAATGTGCATTGCTGCTGCTGTCCTTGCCACAAAGTTCACAAAGCTGCAACATTTTTGCTTTTCAATGGATTTTTATTACAGTCGGGGGAAAGTTTCTTTCAAAGTTATCTCGTACGGAATCTAGGCCCTTGGTATCGGGCAACTTTATCAATTACTGCAGACTCCAAGGTTCACAGGAAAATTTCACCCATTCTGCCCGTGAAATGGGTATCCATTATCACGTGACCAAGGGCCTCTGCGTCTCCAATGTCTAGTGTGAATGAAATTGACTTTTAATTGTCGACGATGACCAGAAAGCAAACAAAACAAGGCACAAAAACCATTGGCATGCACAATTTGTGTGGCTATGTAAATGACAAACAGAACGAGCCGCCCAAAGAGGAGGGAAAAAGTTGCTTATACGACGCGTTGGCCAAAGAGTCGACTCGGAATTCAATTGCGAGTGTCGAGTGAGTGACTCACTCGGCATAGACAGCGGGCACAGTGGTGAAAACGAGTTATCTAGAAGGTGGTTTTGATTATCATCAGCTATCAGCAGCACAACTCAGATGTGTTTTTGCGTTTTGCATAATCTGCTACCAATATAGATAACCATTTAATTGTAGAAACCTCATATCATCCCTTTATGAATGCAATTTTTATGTAAATAATTAAATTAAAGTTATTTCAGATATTTTACAAAATTCTAAGCCAAGTCAAAACAGGTTTTTTAAATCTTTAGAATAAATATATGTATAATTACACCATTTCTAAAAACACATAATCGCATTGTAATAATTTGAAGGTTTTTTGGTTTGACCACCGTACATTTTTCTATGAACAAGACAATTCAAAATTCACACACGCTATTCATTCATGATTCTTTTTATTTTGGACTTTTGTTTGGTTTTTCTTCCTTCGTTTTTTGACCTGCCTCTTTCTGTGTCTGCCGGCGTTGTTCTGCTTTGTTTTGTTTATGTTTTATGGCTTATTGTTTATGGCCAACCGGGGAGAGCTCAGGCATTTGTCATGCTTTTTTCCTAGATATTTGCGCTTATTCATTTGCATGTCAGTTGGCAGGGAAACATTCCCAAACATTTTGCGTGGGCATCTATATATCAGATAATATATTTGAGCACACGATAAAAAGCATTTGACCATAAAAATGTGTTCTTTTTTCCAGTTCTAGATAAACAAATCTGAGAAGCTCTCAGGGGGAGATAAAAGTAGAGGGTCAAAACAACAGATGGAAGAGGAAGTCTCAGA